GGTGGGGTTTAGGGCCGGTGTAGGTACGGAAGAGGGATTGTTCCACGTAACCTACAAAGAGGCAGGCGTAGCTTGGGCCCATGCGGGTACCCATGGCTTATGGTGAGTTGTCTGCTTGAGCTGTTGCAATCCATGTTGTGTAGGACAACCCACAGTGCTGTTTGAAGGGGAGCTCCCTATAGTAAAGCAATTTGAATGAGGAAAAGGTGAATGCCTGGTTTATACCAGGAACAAGGTGCAGAGCTGGATGAACACAGCAGGTCAAGCAGCATCAGAGGAGCAGAAAGCTATGATGCTGCTTGACCTGCTGTGTTCATCCAGCTCTGCACCTTGTTGTCTCGGATTCTCCAGCATCTGCAGTCCCTACTATCTCTTATACCAGGAACGTTGTGTTAATTAAATTTAATTTAATTAAAGAGAAAATGTGAACTTTTATTAGACTTCTACCTGTCAGTATTGTCAATTTAACATTGCATGTTCTATTAAGATTCTATTTCCAGCCATTCAAAAAGTTGAAAAAGGAATTTGGAAGGAATAACTGTTACCTATGACTGACAATTTTGGTCCAGAATGAATTACACCCTTTCTGCAACCAGAGAGGAATTTACAGAAGAAATTCCAATCTTATTTGTTACCTTCCCATCAGCCAAGCGCTACCCAGGTAACAGAAGTCTATTCACCAGTTCAATAGAAATTTTAACGTGCCTTGTGCCAATGTCTTATTAAATAGAATCTGATTCATATTGTAAATCTAATGATGGCACAGTGTTTTCGCATAGCCATCGAATATTAGTATTTTTGTTTCCCAATTTTTGTTCTTTTCTCTTTCGTGCACAAAACTTCTGTTTGGGCACAGAATCACTGGTGCCCCAGCGGTGTCTTTTTTTCCCTGTTTAATGCATAATGCGTCAGCAAGGCCTTAATCTAGAGATTAGAATTAGGAGGCATAGTTAGTTAATTATCAAAGTAAACTGCCAGCAGCTAATTTAATTAACAAAGGATCTGAATAGTATGCTTTGGTCTCTTGATGTTTTCCTGTATGCTGTACCAATATTGCTGCAGGCTATGGTTGCTCTCTGGGATCTCACTCAAGTAGCAATTACTTGCATTTATACCTAGTTAATTAGAGATGACATCATATCCACATAAGGAGTAGCTGTTACCAGTTTGAAGTCAAAAGCAGGAATGTTGCCTTATTTTTTCCCTGGCTCATCAACTCTGAGGCTAACACTAGTGATTCTCTGGTGTGCTGACAACTATCAGCTAGTTTAGCAAATTAGGAGTCGAACCTGGGGCCTCCTGATCTATATGGCCCAGTTGCATAATGACTCCACCGAGCGCACAAAATTCTATTGCTTTTCATGCATCATTTGGGAAAGCAGAGTAGAGGGCTCAATAGGACACGTGCAATATTGCTAGGTTTGACAAGAACACGAGAAAGGTAATGATAGTTCAAATATATAGCCACGGGAACTGGTTGAATTCTGTGAAAATAAGTGAAACATGCACTGAAATATGTGTGAATTACTAACATTATTTTGTATGTAATTATACACAGCACATGTGTCGTCTGCAATGACAAATTAATAATAAATCTTGTAATTAACTAAATTAAATTCAGAAGAATGCAGCTCAGAGCACATCCTTCAGAATCACTGGTTAAGTATCCCCTCCCAAAAATTTGCCTGTCTGGTTTTGCTGTAAAACATGCTTTTGTGTTTTATGCCTTGGCAATCTCCGTAGATGATACACCAGGTTATATACATGTAACAAGAATTTGTTCACTGTGACTTAAAAGGTCTGCTCTTTCCCGCTTCTAGCAACTTGCTACCAGCTTTCTTCACTTTCCTCTGAGTTCACACCCAGACTTAACCAATCAAATACTCTGAGTATCAATAGTAAATAGGCTCACATAATCAAAAAAGGTCAATTGAACATTACATCTTTACCTCTTTGTAAAACTAAAGACCTTATTTTAGGTTAAACCATCCCATATTTTCAGATTCAACAGCATTATCACAAATGCTTTTTTCTGGGGTCCATGGGGAGGTCATTGTACAGCAGTCAAATTTCTCCATCTTACTATTAAACATTAATTCACTTCAATGAAACAAAGCAAACTAATATTTGCAATGTTTCAATTTGAACAAAATTGCAAGAAAAGGGGGACAAATGATAAAAGACTTGTTCAGGACTGATATCAGGAAGCACTTATTCATGCAAAATGATTACAACCCAGAAAAGTCTTGCTGGCAGGTTAAGAGAGTCTAAATCCCTGCAATGATACGTGGGGTATGTGGTTGATGGAGTTTTTCTATGGAAAAGAAAGTGAGATTGAATGAATGATGTCGCTTAACTGTGCTTATTGTTTTATTTTAATACTCCGTTATAAAGCAGACAGACTGAGATGAAGAGGAATTTCTTCACTGAGGATTGCGAGTCTTTAGAACTCCTTGCCACAGAGATCAGTGGGGACAGAGTGCTTGTGTTAATTTAAAGCTGAGTTAGATAGATTCTTGATCAATAGGGAAATCAAGGATTGTGGGATAAGAACAGGAAAGTAGACGTGAGGAATGTTGGATCAGCCATGATCCTATTGACTAATAGAGCAGGCTTGAAAGGCCAAATGGCCTATTCCTGTTTCTATTCCTTATGGTCTCCTGATCTAGGTGCATGAGGGTGACTTGAAACTACACTTTTAAAGCTGAGGACTGTTTCCAAAGCATAGATGGGAGTATTAAAACATTGCCAGTGACTGAAAACAATTGGTAGAATGGTGGAACAATTAATTTACTGTCACCGGTTGAAGACCAGCTGGAGAGGGAAGGACTTTGAAGAAGAGGTCACAATAACATTAAAAACAATTGGATATTTTTTTAAATTCAGTCAATTGCTTATTGTCTGGGTAAAGTAAAGAAGGTATTTCTTTTTTAAATAAACCTAATTTTATTCAGACAATCTTACCGGAGTAGGCAAGGATGAAAATGTCTTCATTCTTTAATGTCATTCTTTGATCTTTGACACCTCCTATGACACCAATCTATAAAAGCAAATGTCATCATTTGAAAAGCTGAGGCAAGTTTTCTTTTAAATCGTCATAACTAGATCATCTGTTGCTGAAAGCTGATCACAGAATAATTTAAACTTGAGCTCATTCGAAATTCCATTGTTGATGACTTCACTTACAATAAGTCTTGTTTACCCATTACCTCAGTGTTCACTGGACTACATTGTCTCCTAATGAAGCAATGTCTTGATTTTAAAATTCTCACCTTGCTATAAACTCCTCCATTGCCTTCCCCCCACTCTATCTGTTACCTTCCCCAACCCTCACATCCCTCTGAGATATTTGTGCCCTTCCAGTTCTGGCTTCTTGAGCACGCTCATATTTAGTCACACCACTGTTCACAGCTACACATTCAGTTGCTAGACTCAAAGTTTTGGAATACATTGCTGCACCTTTTTGCCATTGTCCTATTTAAAACCCCTTAAAACATGCCTCTTGAATCCAGGTTTTTATTATCTCAGTTATGTGGCTGTATCAGATGTTGTTTGATAACACACTCTTGTGAATTGCCTTTCTTCATTTCTTTTCATAAAATGTGCTATATATATGGCTATATATGTTCTTGTTTCTAATTGTCAGGAAATTCCTGTATGACTATTCTGACCATGGCCCATTATGAGTGGTTTGAGGAATGGAAGGACACAAAATTAAAGAACAGAGGAGAAGATATGAGAATTTGAAGATGGCTATTGCCAGAGAGCTAATAAACTGGGCCTCAGATATATTCCCTCAACTCAAAGATAAGGTATCACCAAACACATGAAACTACCTGATAAATATTCACTTTGGAGAATTGATTGATCCAATCGTTTGGAACAAATATGCAAGTTAGCAGTGTAGAGATGGGGTTTAACAGATTCTAGATGAGCTTAGCTGGTCCATGGCTTAACATTATATATATATATAATGTAAAAATAACAATTGTACTATGACAATAGAGAAACAGTTACTGAGATGTCTGGCCTGAGCCTGAGAACAGAATGAAACATGGTCTCTCAACTAGAGTACCACTTAATCGCAGCACCAGTTGGCATTCACACCTGACTACCTTTTGCAGGAATGTTTACTCATTCCAACTGCCGATTTGTGACCATAGGGAAAATGTTCCACTTCTAGCAGGGATTCATGCTCAAAGAGTGTGTAGGTCAGAGAATCAGGGCTGCAGTCTTGACCTACACTCATTTGAAATATTGCTTTGTCACTGGAAGCACAGCATCACTGCATTTGTCCTTCCTGACTAAAATAGGATAAATAATGAAGAGCCAATTTCAAGGGACCTTGGAACAAAGAAATTTGGGAAACAGCAATCAAACAGAAATAATATGGGACGGAAGCTTGAAAAATCATCAGAATATTTCTCTGGTGATGTGAAGACCTGTTGTTTAAAATAATTCAAGCATAAACAATTAGCGGATGGATTGTTACACGACTAACTGTGTAAAAAGTAAAGTTAAAATATTGACCCTTGATTTTGAATAGTGAAGCAGGAGAACTACAATTTTTTTTCTGTTTGGTTGTGAGCAACAGTTACCATGAATGATTACATTCTGTATGCACCATCTGCCTCACTATCCAAGGATCCTGAAAGAGAATTAATGTCCAGTTGAGAGGAATGGTGGGGTAGATGAAAGCCTTGGCCTCAGATGTAATATTTGTTCTAAATGTCACACTTTGAAAATGAACTTTAAAACTGCAGTTTTACAGCACAGCTAAAATTATTTCATGCTTTTCCCATTTCTCTAACAAATTCTATAGAAAATAGGTCTCTCAAGACATATGTTTCATTATGGATAATACTCATAGCTCCTTTAACATTTAAAAAGGAGGAGAATTAAAACTTTGAATTTAGCACAGGAGGACCAAGTATTTATATAAAAGACCAAGCTGTTTTTCTCTGTGGTTTGATCATGTGATGGAGTGGAGACATTATAGTTTAAGGGAAAGTCAATATTGGAATGGCCGCTTGTTTCACTCCTCAACCAGTTCTATTTGACACTAAAATTATAAAGAAATCCAACCATAATCTTTGTATGTTTTAGTAAATGGTCTTAGAAGACAATCAACAAATCTATTCTTGGATAATTACTCAAATGAGAGTGTCTCTTTTGAGAGGAACGACTGACCAGTTGCAATTTGACAGGAATGCCTGACAATGTCTGAAAACCAACACTGTCATGTCGATAGTATTTTGAGAGGTAACTGTGAACTATGTATCTGTGAAAATTCCAGATTGAGTACGTCAAAGTTGCAACTCCACTCACTAACCAATACTACCTTGCTGCTCCTCATGGAGAGATGTATGGCACAGACCAGAATCTCACTCGGTTCACTCCTGAAGTTGTTGCCACTCTCAGAGAAAAACTCCTGTGAAAAACCTCTACCTAACAGGTAAGCAGTTCATTGAGTCATTTGTTGAAGTGATGTCAAACTAAAGAATTGATGGACTTGATGGGTCGAATGGCCTCCTTCTGTGCCATAATGCCTCTGTTGGGTGGGAGAGTGCCTTGTGGAGTTTCACATTGGGTCATAACCATACTCTAGATGAGACAAGAATGAATAACTCAATATGAAGTTAAAACCGAAGCCCTTCTGAGGAAGGGTCACTCGACCTGAAACATTAACTCTGATTTCTCTCCACAGATGCTGCCAGACCTGCTGAGCTTTTCCAGCACTTTCTGTTTTCATGTCAATATGAAGTAATGTGCTCAGACAACAATTGTATTACATAATGATTAAACAATTATAAATGATAAAACAAAAAGCAAGAAGGAAACTTTTCTTAAGTTAAAAAAACATACTTTGCTCACTTATATAGTAACAGAAAGGAAGAAAAGCAATTTTTTTAAAAGCACAAACTGTAAACTCCAACTGCTCTGTTCAAGACAGCTCCCCAAAGTGATACAGTTTCCCTTGATGTATATACATCACTAGATCTCTAAATAACCTTAAGCAAGGCTGGACTCTTTGGTCAGTTACTCTCTCGATGTCCCATCCTCTGTTGTCTGCAATGTTTGAATAGGCCACTCTGGCTGCAACAACAAATCCTAGAGGCTGTGTCCCTTTAAGTCTAATTTCTGACCACCTTATCCCGGCTCTCCTTAAATACGATTCTGACAACAATGTCTCTTTGCAAAGTGTGCAGACTTCACAGAAGTCCGTTTACACATTCTTGATTGTAGCTCTCACATGCCATTAATAGTTCTACTAATCATCAAATAACCTGCCCTCCTTTCTGAGGAAGGGTCACCGGACCCAAAACATTAACTCTGCTTTCTCTCCACAGATGCAGTCAGACCTGCTGAGTTTTTCCAGTTTTGTTTCTGATTCGCCTACTAACCTCTTCCCGCCCCCTTGACCTGTCCATCCTCCCTGGACTGACCTATCTCCTCCCTAACTCCCCACCTACACTCACCTTTACTGGCTCCACCCCACCTCTTTGACCTGTCTGTATCCTCTCCACCTATCTTCTCCTCTTTCCATCTTCTATCCGCCTCCCCCTCTCTCCCTATTTATTTCAGAACCCCCTTCGCCTCCCCCATTTCTGAAGAAGGGTCTAGGCCCGAAACATCAGCCTTCCTGCTCCTCTGATGCTGCTTGGCCTGCTGTGTTCATCTAGCTCTACACCTTGTTATCCCCTCCGTATAGTTGACCACATTATATCTAAGGTCATTCATTGTCCTGGTTTGTAGTTCAAGGATAATCAGGGTCCATATAGTAAACAGTTCCCTTTTTAGAACTATTTCCTGTAGCAGGGAATCTAGGGGAAGCCATAGCTCAGTCAACTGTTGTTAACATAACCTGTGAACATACTCAGGAAACCTGCCCCGGGAAATGCTGAAGTCCACAGTTAATATTACTACTATTGACTACATGATTGATTTGGTTCTGACTTCATCAAAGCGCCATCACTCTTAATTTCTAATTAGTCAAATAAAAATTTAGAAGATTCAATACAGATTTAATATCATTTCTCTTAAAATCAAAAGCAAAGTATAAATGAAATGAAAACACGTAAAACTACAAAACAAAAACTGGTGATTACAGGCTACAGGTCTACAACTCCATGACTTTTTTTAATGATACACAGAAAATAATTCTGTTCTGAGGCTGTCCCTTGGAGCATTACAACTTTTTTGCATTGTAATGTTGGCTAAACTTTGGGATTAAAATAATCCAGACAGACCCAAAGCAAAATTTTCCCATGTATTTTTAGAGTTGGAGTGAGCATGTTAGATGGCAATGAAGATATTGTATCCCTCCCCCAATAGGAAACCTCACTGGATCTCCCACCAATTACCAATCAGATCATTATGAGCTGACAGGTGTGCAAGACCAAATATTTCATTCTATCACGGGCCTCAACACTGACTGCCATCCAATCAGAAGCCTCTGGGTTCTGGGTACTAAATTCTACCAGGTGAGGGATACTCCTCAGGAGGTCCATCAATGGGAAGGCAAGTCTTCTGTTGTTCTTCGAGCAGGATGGGCTTATGAGCAAAGGGATTTTGGGGGCAGGGGTCAGAGCAAGGACAGGGAGATAACTATTGTTTTTCCATCTCATCACTTCCAGAGAAGGAAAATAGCACTGCCACTACAACTGCTTTAGCACATTTAAAAGCTTGTATCTGCAGCTAACTCCAGATTGCTGTCTAGAAAGTGTTGAGTATGAATTTTGTTAGGAATCAGGAGTTTATATCTGGGATTACCTCAGTCTGTAACATCTGGGTGAGGATATTATAGCACACATCATGAATGCCCAGCATGTTTAATATCTCATTGGCACAGAGACAGCTGCAACCATCTTAATAATGGTGTCATTTGGCATAATGAATATCCTGATTTCAAAGGGAAATGCATATTTACCCAATGATCTCAATCCAGAGGGTGACTGAACTAGAATTTGTCCTCCACCAGGACCCCTTCTATAAAATGTGGAGTCTCTTCGTGTTTTTGCTCTGGTGCAGGGGTATAATCCATGCCTTTTTTTTGATACAGATTCATAATGAGAGCTAGTGCAACCAAACATACTCTTTCGCTTAATATCTCTCTTCCTCCTTCGTTATTTTTACTTTCTCCACTTTGTTTCTTGATTAAAGTAGTTTCACTTTCTCTGAGAATCCCTGCCCTATATCACCAGTCCAGCAGAGAATAAATATGTGATCTGACCTCTGTTCAGTGGCAGTTTGTCTTTATGCCTTGATCATCACAACTTATACTGTATTAGAGACAGTAAGAACTGCCAATGCTGGAGTCAGAGACAACACAGTGTGCAGCTGGAGGAACATAGCAGGCCAGGCAGCATCAGAGGAGCAGGAAAGCTGACGTTTTGGGTTGGGACCCTTCTTCTGAGTAAGGGTCCCGACCCGAAATGTCAACTTTTCTGCTCCTCTTATGCTATATTAGGCCTGCTTTTCAAAAACTATCATTGTGTAATGAACGATAAGATAAATATGAACTTGCTGCAACTCAACCTCTAGATCACAGATGATGGTGAAAACTGTCTGAGGATATAGGCTGGATAAACTTCATTTCGAGATGGGACGACCACTTTCTGTTCTAATGTTCACGTTTCTTCTTTTGTACTTTCTGCCTGAAACAAGCAACACTTGGCCAAGACTAGCTGATCCTGGAAAGAGGAAGTGAAGCATAATTTCACATATTGTATTTCATCAGTCTCTGCATTGCACCATGTTTTGAGACCCTTCAGAAAAACATGCTCTTCAACACAAGAAAAAACAATTTCAACAGATTGCTGATTCAATTGATTTTGGACCAGAAGGTGTTATGCATTTCTTCTGGCTTATTTATTAGATAAACACTAAAGTACCAATTATAACATTTTCGTTCTCATTGTGCTACTAAAGAAGAGATCGATTAGACAAAGAAAACATTAGCTTTACTTAAGAAGCATCTCACTGTGGTTTTATCTTGCCACGAGTCTGTAAGAGAGAGTAAGATCATATGTCATTGCATCAGTTTCTGTGATGATATATACTGTGTCTCATTATATGTTAAACAATCAGACTTAACCCCTTATACGAACCAACTGTACCTAAGGAATTGGTTAACTCAAAGTATAAAAATTCATCCATTAATAATTCACAAAGTTATTGGCAGTATTACACATTTGTAGAACTTCTACATATTTCTGAGTTGATAGTTTCCTCAGACCCAGCTAAAACTCAGGCATAAAATTTTTGGCACAATGAAGATCTTTTTTGCCATGATGAAAATAGTGCAAGACACCCAAAATCCTTCGCCCCCCGCACCACCTCCACCACCCCCCCACCGCTGAAGTCAGCTGTTCCCATTTTTGCAGGAGAGAGATTGGAAGTAGGCTGCGGTTCACACATGTGCAGTTTATGGCAGCAATTGGCCATTTAAATGATGAGCTGCCTCCAATGAACTTGTAGAGTTCCTTGAATGTTAAGGAGTGTTAAGAAGTGTTCACATATCAAATGTTTTCAAGCAGTGTCAAAACAGTTAAGATCTGTCAAATGTGTTTTTATGAATGAAAATGCTTTTCTCAATAAAGTATGCATTATCAGAATTTAAGCAATATATTTTGTTTTCCTGTCCACTTGTGTAACGTTGGATACCAGGTGAGTCGATATAGTCTGTGAAAGGGAAAGGATGTTGAGTGAAAGTAAGGACTAAGTTGGCATGGAGAGGTATGAGAGCCCTGAGAGTAAGTAGGGGGGCATATCTTTGAGTACAGTGTTTGAGTGGCCTTGGGATGGGCAAAGGGATATAGGGTGGCCTGGATAGGGAATAGTTTGTGGGTGGGAGTGACAGGTACAAGAGCTGGAGGACTGTTCTGTACTTTCTTTTGGTTTTTGGTTGATGGAGCGCTGAGGCAGGCTTTGTGCTCAGACTGCTCAGGATCTGGCAGTCTCCTCAGTTCTTCCTGGGTCACCTGACCAAATTCCAAACAGCCTGAGCCTCCAACTGAAAATAGGAAGTGCAGATGGCCATTCTTCAATGTTGGTTTGATGGCACAGGAATTCCTTGCATTTCAGCGCCCTCCATTTGGCAGTAAAAATGAGGCCTGGATCTGAATCGTGTGGTACATTGTATCTTTTCTCCCCCATTGATGTATATAGAAACATAACCACATGCACTAAAATGCGCATACCAACAATAAAGGTCAAGGGTCACTATGCTACTTTGATTTTGGCAATTTTCCTCATTGCTTAAGCTCTATTTAGACATCTCACTTGTGTCCAAACCTGAAACTTCAACAAACAATAACCAAGGCACATGCAAAGTCAACATTGCCTCATTGTTCGTTTTCAAATAATAAAATATTGTAACGAAAATTCCCAAATGATCTTGGACAGTTTCTCAGCCACAGGTTACTTCATTTCTGTAGTGTTTTCAGAGCTGTAATTAGTGACATTCTCTTACCCATAAGTACTTTCTTCTAGGTCAGGATGTTTTCTCCAATAGATTAGCTGGAGCCATGCATGGAGGCCTCATCTGCGCCTCTGCCATTTTAGGTTGAATTCTGTATGTGGACCTTCTCTTCCTTAAAAAAAGACTTAAGGAAAAAACAACTTTAAAAAGTACTGTGAAACTTTGACTAGTGGGCTGAACGAGTGTTCTTTCTCTGCATGTTATTGTGGCACTCTACATTGTAAAGTAATTGATGATTATCCTCAAACTACTTGACTTGCTGTTGACAATATTGAAGTCTATTCATTGCCATTCCTTTTTCTACCAGTGTCCCTCATTGAGCATAGCACATTTTGAAAAGCTAGAGACGGGAGGGGAGGAGAGAGTGAGCTGTCAGGTCACCGGACTCTGAAGTCTAAAGTAATGTTAAAATTCAAGCTGGAAGAAATTCTGAATGTTGCAGTTTAAGGAATAGTCTCCAGACAGCAGAGTGAAATCAACGGGGTATCCTATCTCAGTTGGTTAGTTGTTGAATCTCATTAGAATTCCATCCAATCCCACCGGCGCATAAGTTTTCCACTTTGATTTGAGGACGCGTGGTTTTAGTAGCATCTAACACCGCTGCTACCTCCAAGAAAACTTGGTCAATCCCCGCAACTCATTAAGAGCTGACAGACAAGCGTGGGTGTGTTTCTTCATAAGTCAAAGGTTTAACACTGGTATTACTCCTTTGTACTCCTTGCAGGACGGGGTTTGTGGGGAAGAGGGAGGGTCAGAGACGAGAACAAGAGATGGGTTTTGGAGGTCATCCCCCCTTGCCCCTCCCCATCCCAATTTGTATCTCCGATTGTCCCCAGATTGGGACAATTGGAGGCCACCATATCCCCCAAATCTGGTGGACAAGGCACCATGGTGCCCCAGTCAGGAAACCCAATCACCCCTTTCACCCATCAGCGAACCAAGTAATTAGGGAGAGGGTGAGTTGAAGCCCTTAAGTGGCCATTAATTGACAACTTAAGGGTCTCAACTGGAGCTTGATAAGGCTGCCAATGGATTTTCTGACTTAATTGAAGTGACAAGATGTGGGGTAGGTGTGGGTTTCTTTCAAGGACCAATTCACCCAATTAATTCCCCTTCTAGCCACCTCACACAATGCCTCAGGGGAGGGGATTATTGTGCCCATAGCTGTTTATCCTTTTGACATAGATTCATTAATACTCTCTCCTGCTTTAGGGGAAAAAAAAAGGAGACTGAATGCAATACTTGCCACGGAGCTGTAATATCTTGCTTTAGCCATTCCTGGGTGCTTTGACAGAAAACAAGTATTTCAAGGGTTAATCACTTTTGCTCTGTCTTGAGGTTAGATTGGATCTGATCAATCAGAATATCCCAATTGGATTCTGTGCCTGTTGTTTCCTTTTGAGAGAAGTAATCATGACCTTCCCATTTGATGGGCTGTGTGAAAATTTCAAGCACGCTTCTGGCATCTTCTGTTTTTCGCTGGTCTGAGTAGAAAGCTGATCAAAAGAGATAGTGGGAGGATCTGTGGTAGATAATATTGAGATTGATACTCAAATAAAGATGCAAGCAATCAGAATGGTGGAAATAAATGATTAAAAAGCATCCTTGTCAGTTAGTGAATCGACAGCTGGCAAGGCATTAATCTCATGGCCTTGCTATTCATTAGAAAAGAATGAGACCTCTGGAACATGAAAGAAACTGCAAGTGAATTATAACAGATACCCCCTGTGGAAAACTCTACAACCACACTCTGAATGGCTGGACTGCATATTTGCTGGAAGTCATGTCAATTTGAAGCCTCGACTAGAAATGACTCGTCATTAACTTTGTGCTTATTTTGCTGCTGTGCTTTATGCTACAATCCCTTTGAATTCCAGGTGGCTTCAATCTACTTATTACAATCATGTGCAGAGGGACTGAATGGCTCTCAGCTTTTCCTTCTCTTTGTTTGACTGTTTTTTGAAATGGATATATTTGCCAAATCATTGATCGTTTAACTGTTTATGTGTTGCAGTTATTAATCAGGTTTTCTAAAATTTTCTTTTCAAGAAAAGAGGCTATCTTTTGCAGTACCTAAACTTGAATTAAGTAAATAAATTTTCAAACTGACACTTTCATACCCTCTCTCAAAATTCATACCAACACAAAGTGATTACAGTGTGGGAGGATACATTAGGGAATTGAGAGTTCAGTAACATTAAAGGGACATCTGTATATTAAAGGTTAGTGATTTGGCTGGCTTTTGGGTAGAATGGGTGGTACTGCTACCTTTGGCATCAGGGTCGTTTAAAAATGTAACCAGATTATTGATGGTCCTTTTGGAGACGGTAGCTGCAGTGTTGAGTTTTTTTGAAAATCCCTGTCCACAGCACAGGGATAGTAAAAATTAGCAGACAGTTACAAATTATCTGGAGAGTGACAGAGAGGAGGGATCTCACTGAGGGTCTTGTTCTTTCCAATTCTTAGTTATTTGTTCTGGTCTGCCAAGTAAACAGCTGCTTCAATACACAATGGGCTAATCAGCCTGTTACCTGATCTTTCTCTTCAACAAACCAATAACTGGCTTATGTATTTCAGTTACCTGGCTTAATGAGATTATTTTTGAGCACATTACTTTCACAGCCAGAGTTCAGTTCAACAATAGGTTATCTTTAATGGATTTTCTTCATCCAGTGCTGTGCCAAGGTGGTTGTGCTGATCCTTTGCTATTGGTATAGGAGATGGACCACATTCATACTCCTGAATGACAATTTTTTTTGGTACAATTTTAATAGCAGATTGCTTCCATATCAATGGTGTTGGAATGTAGAAGATACAGTGACCAAAAGCCATCTTTGACTGATCTCAATCAGTGAAAGCTTTAGCTTTTTAAAAATTGACTTGGGGTTTCCAGCTGGTAAATTCAAAGAACATTTACATGGCTCTATAAATTGATCTTTCACTTCAGTAGCTGCATGCTGATTTCTGCTAATGCTCCTACTACCTGTCTCTGCAGCAATCTTTCTTCAACCCTCTGCATTGGTCTCTTTCTCTTCATGTTTGAAGATCTCATGTTTTAGCTTCTGGAATGGTCTTGTTATCTCTTGTTCTCGATTGCTTTTAGCCAACATGTTCAAACATGTTATGACACTTTTGTAGAGAGGGTGGGTCTTGTATCTGGATCTTCTGGTTCAGAGATAGGAACAGTACCACTGCACCACAAAGCCTCTCTTAGAAACACAGAAAATGGGAGAAGCAGATGACCATGCAATATGACCATGGCTGATTGTTCAACTCAGTTCCTTGTTTCTACTTTCACCCCATACCCTTTTAACCCTTAGCCCTTCTAACACTTTCTTGAAAACATTCATTGTTTTGGCCTCAACCACTTTTTGTGCCAGACAAATCCACAGGCTCCCCACTCTCTGGGTGAAGACATTTCTCCTCATCTCAGTGCCAAATGGGGCTTGGAACATCTGCTCTCTATAAACGCTATCCTGCTTTGGGATTTCAGGAAATGTTAGTATTTTGTCAAATTGAAGGGCTACCCTATTAGACCAGATGATTGGTTATTTCAAAATATAGATTCCCTAGTCTAGATTGTAAATGAAAGAAATGAGAAGCCTCAAATGTGAAGATCAAAGCTTCTCAGAGTTGAAAAGTATGAGTTCAGATCTTCCAATCTGGGTTGGAAACCCTATTTCTGATCCCGATCAGAAAATCAAAATGGGAAAAAACACACGATTGATTCTTTTGATTTGATTTATTTATTGTCAAGTGTGTTTTGTTACAAAATACAGTGAAAACTGTCGTAACATTCCCTGGCACCATCTTAAAATGTAGAAAAATAAACTAGAACCATAGGATATAAAGGCCAAAAAATAAAGAAATAGAGAAAAGTGATCTACTTTACAGTTCTCCTTGTTAAGTGCTCCACCGTGGGTCATGGGCCTGGTGGCCAGCCTCGAGACACCTTTGCCGTGTCCCCACCGCTGAAACAAAAGTCACCACTCTTTGGCATCATCTTGCCTCCGTGTTCATGAAACAATACAGCCTTTAAGGTTGACTCTTCTTTAATTTCCGAACAGTGGCAGTGTTCAAATTCCAACAACTCATCATCGCCACTGTCAGTAAATTCCTGGTATGCAACTTTTAAAATCCACAGTAAAAATAAATTATCAACTTGATGGAGAAGGAATAATCAGAATGGCACCAAAAATAATTCACATGGACCCAATAGTTCTTTCTGAAAAGATATTTCTTGCTTGAATTAGATAGTTTGTTCCATGTACTAATAGTTGCCCTACATTTCAAAAGGTTTATATAGAATTTAGAACTTAGAACATTACAGCACAGGAACAGGCCCTTCAGACCATCATGTCTGTACCTACCATGATGCCATTCTAAATAATCCCATCAGCCTGTACATGGTCTGTAGCCCTCTATTCCCTGCCTGTTCATGAGACTGTCTAAATGCCTCTTAAACATCACGTTCACTGCTTTTCGTCATTTATATAAAAGTTTTGGATGTGAACGTAGGAGGTATGGTTAGTAAGTTTGCAGATGACACCAAAATTAGAGGTGTAGTGGACAGCGAAGAAGGTTACCACAGAGTACAATGGGATCTTGATCAGATGGGCCAATGGGCTGAGGAGTGGCAGATGGACTTTAATTTAGATAAATGTGAGGTGCTGCATTTTGGAAAAGCAAAGCAGCGCAGGACTTTTACACTTAATGGTAAGGTCCTGGGGAGTGGTGCTGAACAAAGAGGCCTTGGAGTGCAGGCTCATAGTTCCTTGAAAGTGGAGTCACAGGTAGATAGGATAGTGAAGAAGGCATTTGGTATGTTTCAAGAGTGCATTGAGTATTGGAGTTGGGAGGCCATGTTGCAGCTGTACAAGGCATGGTTAGGCCACTTTTGGGAATACTATGTAGAATTCAGGTCTCCCTGCTGTAGAAAGGATGTTGTTAAACTTCAAATCGTTCAGGAAAGATTTACAAAGATGTTGCCAGGATTGGAGGGTTTTAGCTACAGGTAGAGACTGAATAGGCTGGGGCTATTTTTCCTGGAGCGTTGGAGGCTGAGGGGTGATCTTATCGAGGTTTATAAAATCATGAGAGGCATGGACAGGGTGAATAGACAGGTCTTTTCCCTGGGAGTGGGGAAGTCCAAAACTAGAGGATATAGGTTTAAGGTGAGTGGGGAAGGATTTGAAAGGGACATAAGGGGAAACTTTTTCATGCAGAGGGTGGTACATGTAGGGAATGAGCTGCCAGAGGAAGTGGTGGAGGCTGGTACAATATCAACATTTAAAAGGCATTTGGATGGGTATATGAATAATAAAGGTTTAGAGGGATATGGGACAAATGCTGGCAAATGGGACTAAATTAAGTTAGGATATCTGGTTGGCATTGACAAGTTGAACTGAAGGTCTGTTTCCATGCTGTAGAGCTCTATGACTCTATATTATCTGCTTTACCACCTCCCCTGGCAGCACAAACCAGGCACCTACTCCCCTCTGTGTAAAATCTTGCCTCCCACATCTCCTTTAAACTTTCCCCCTCTCACTTTAAACCTATGCCCCTAGTATTTGACATTTCCACCCTATGAAAAATACACCTACTATCCACTCTATCCATGCCTCTCATAATTTTATATACTTCTATCAGGTCGCCCCTCAGCCTCTAACACTCTAGTGAAAACAATCCAAGTTTGTCCAACTTCTCCTTATAGCCAATACAGTCAAATCCAGCTTATGTTCGATAACACTGGGACACTTTTAAACAATGGTATATTGAAAACTAATCCCAGTTGATTGCCTTATTGTACTAACCATCTGCTATTAAATGTGACGATGCAGACATTCAGTTTTCATTATGAACCATCTGTAGTCTAATAAAAATATTAGTTATCTAATTCTTCATTTTTTTTTTGGCAATCCCATTTTCTCCTTTTGCACTCTGTGGGTGTAAACTCTTGCTGGAGGGCTTTTCCACTTACACATGGATGATCCCATCAGTGCCTGTCAGTAAACTAAGGGCCATCAAAGCCAAGCCTGTCCTGTCCCTGCCTAATATCTATAAACATGCCCACTTTCCAACATGGGCATTTAAGGAGAATAAGAAACGTGGCTGATATATTGCCTACTTAACTGTGAGGTTCTGAGATACACTGTTGCCTCAGTTGAGGTCAGTTGACAGAGCAATCCCCTGAATCTGCTCTGTATGGTTCAGTTACACACACACACACACACACACACAAATATTCATATTGCAAAAGAATGTCCATACCAATATCATTTAAATTTACCTTAAGGCTTCTAATGCCTTAAGTAATGGGTATCATTATATATCTTCCTAAAATGAATAAATAGTTCAAGAAGGCAGAGCTGAGTAAGTAGAATGATAAATTCCGTTTCATCATCTCTAGCAAATTGTGAATCATGAAATATCTGATTTTGTTCCTGTGAAATACATTGACATTTTTTACTAAGACACTATATTCGTCAATTTGTTATTGAAATCATCAGACATTATGAAACAGGTAATGTCAGAGAGAATTTTGTGCAATAAAACATGAACACTTTAATTTGTATTGGCAGAATGACATAGAATTTATTTTATTTCAAATCCTACAAATTCATTCTTTAATCCTATTGAATTATTCCAAATGTCTCTTTATTCAAATCAAGTGACTGATCACAAGGGATATGCCCATGAAATGTTACAATTCATTTCCCTTTAATGGGCACTGCTGCATTATTACAGAAATGAAGTAGAATGTAATTATATCACTTAAGGACTGAAATATAAAATATTCCATTAATTTAATTCTACTATCATGTATAGAAAATTTATTTTTGCAGGTGTTATACAAAAGGTACAAAAATTCTTTCAGTACTCAGTGTGTTAATCAGATATATAAAAATCATTTTATATTGTGCAGCATAGAAATTACTGATGGCATGTACTAGTAGGCCAAATTCTTAAAATGGTCAACAATATTCCATCACCCATTATCTTAGTATTATTCATTTTAAAGCAGACAGGTTAACATTTGTGTCAATATATAGAAACCCACACAGCAGTCTAAAACAATGCCAACACTAATTTCTGTGCTTTAAAAAAAAACTAAACTTTATTTACATCTTTCACCTGGAGCACAGTCAGGAAATAAGAGGGAATATCAGTAAAAATTAAAACAGAACAAGGAAAGAAAAATATTTTACATTTTAGCATGGGAGAATCCAGTGGTGGGGAAACTCCATAGTGTACTCAGCTTACATAGATAAACTAGTGTGTCTACTGACTTCACTGCATCAATGAGTTGTAGATGGGGCAGAAATTATGGTAGGATTCAAAATTTATTTACATAGCTACTGTTTAAACATACTACAGCAAATATAGTCTGTAGAGTTGATTTACAAAGAAAAATACAGCAAAGAAAACTCACATTCGAAACTACAGTCACCATCCCTGATGAAAGAAGGGTCATTTACCCCACCAAAGTAGATTCAGTAGAGGATAGTTACTTAATACCTACTAGTAATTTTTAAAATAAATAGCAGTATAGTTGTTTAGGCTGGTTTAAGATCAACAACTCATTTACAGCTGTGCAGGCTTCAGGCTTGATGAACAAATGAATTACTTAATCATCTTCATTGTGAGTGGAAACATGTATTAAAACAGACAACCAACTAGGTGCAGTTGCTCATTGGCAACAGCATTAACTTTTCTCTGTTGGTATACATTAACGAGGAGGCAATTGATTCAGCATCAAGTACAAGAGCTCGGTTAGTATGGGGGCGGGGGGGGTGGATATGGGGCTTGTGGAAATAGCACAATATGCTATTACGGGAAGACGTTGCCAGTTGAAATGAAACAAAGGACATTACCACTCAAGTGCTGAAGATGCAATCAAAAACTTCAAATGAACATCATTATGTCTGTAGCATGCAACTGCAACATTAACTCAACTCTCCAGTACCAGCCTCTTGGACTCTGCAATAACCACTGCATAACGTTCAACCCTGCTTCATGCACATAGTCATTCACATTGTACCCAGCACTGACAAATGGAGCAATAACAATTGCAATAACAATTTTAGAATGCTGTTGATGATTTATTCAAGGATATGATTTTTAAAAAGTTTTAAATTTATTCGCAGCAGATTAAAAGATGAAGTGGTAAATTAAAGTTATTTTGCATGAGAGATTTGATGTAATTTAGTAATTCAATTTTCTGAAGCTAAAGTACATACTCTCCCTTTCACAAACACTAATCAAGAAGAACAAACTACTTATAATCAGATCATTTCATAGCCCTATTTGTATTGATTATTTACCATAATCAGAATTAAGGGAGATTTTATTTTATTAAACAGAAACCACAACTTAAAGGTTTCACTTGTTGAGGTGCATTACTGTCATACGTTACCAACAGTCTTGCTGTTCTAAGTCTACACCTGCTACTAGCTGATTTTTTAAAAATGAATTCACACTTTATTTTGTTAGTTAAGTCTGTATATTATTAAAATATTTACACTTTATTGGTGTTAGCATTTCTTTGGAGAATAACAATGACAGTCTACACTGATTCGTGATACAGCCCCGTCTAAAATTATTTCAGTATACAGTCATTGGCATATTGCTATTTGGGAGATATTGTTATGTGCAAGTTGCCTGCTGCATTTTCTACTTTACAACAGTGAATACACTTTTAAAAAATTTCTTCAGTCACTGTCAAGCACTTTCAGATATCCTGAGTTTGTGGAAGGCATTAAACAAATAAAAATTCGATTTTGAGCTCTATTACATGCACAGAATTTTAGATTTCCAAAATGTTGAGCAATTCAGGAAATCTTTTCAAGTTAGGCTTATCATTAATATTACCAAGATACAGATTTTTATGAAACTAATTCGGTGTCAGAAACGAACAAGAATCTACAACATGGTGAATTAGGCCATCTTTTTACATATTGCTCATTTTAATTATTAAAAATACAAAATTTTTACTTCTGAAATTTTAGTTTTGGATTTGACCAAAGATTTTTTTGTCTTTCATTTGCAGGTCTGAGTTCAGAAGTTAGGGGTGGAATCTCAATAATAGTCAACAGTTGAGAGCATTTCTGGATCCTGTCCTAGTACTTATTGATAGCGCACCCTCTGCTGTGATCTTGTGAACATTGCCTCCTGATCAACTATCTCATATCCTATGTCTAGTTAAGGATAGCAGGCAGGATCATGAGGCTGCAGACCTAACTAACGGTCCTGCAACGTTGGAAGGCTGGCATCCTTACTGGCAGAGGTGGATGCTGGCACTGTTTCTGTTGCTGAGGTGGACCACAACAGGTCCTGCATCTTGAGAGTCCATCTGAAGACGTCTCAATTTTGTTGCATTGCCTCCTAATTCTCACAGCCCTGCTAGGTGCTAATACATCTCATAGGCCACCCACTGGTAAACCTACTCTAGGCATCTCTCTGACTCTGACTTCAGCTGGCGACCTGTCCTCAACCAAGAAGATGCCAACAGTGTCACAGTCTTTGGGCACTCAAATTGGCTAACCACCAGTACTGGATAGTAAGCTCATGCCTAGCTTTCCACCCTATATCTGGCAAAAGCGGCTGGCGGCTCCATCAACCAACCCAACACCCTCTAGGATGGCCTTCCTCTCAGTCAAAGCTGCCCTTGTAGGATTTCATCTGTATAATTAACAGGGAAGCTTACCCCTCTGGCAGGTCCTGGTTGCCTTTCACAGGTTTCTGTGGAACTTTATCCATGGAAGTAAATAGATGGCCTGGCCCGTATTCTAATTATCATTGGTTGGTTTAGGATTTAGAATTGCTTTTTGCCAGTGAGAGGTGGAATACCTCTTATGCTTCAAATGCTAGATGGAGGAACAGACACCAAGCTTTACTGGGTAAAGTATTTATTTTCATTTCTTTAGATTTATTTTCAGTCAGTTTCAAGGTTTGAGGAATAACAACAGCACTCACAGAATGGAACGAACATTAATATCCCTTCCAGAGGTGTTTATTGCAAAAACAAAACTATTTTCTAAATAATCATTACCACTTACTACCATGGCTAATTTACACATTGCTTGCAGTCCCATGAACATGCAATGTCCTTTCTGTATCCTGCTGTCTTAGTCCAAGCGCTGTACATAGTTTGAAGGGAAGAAGCCTGTGGCTCCATTGATAACACCTTCATACCATCCATTTTCATTCTTGGCAGTTACGTAGATGACTTCTCCTTGTTTAAAAGTCAAATCATCATCACTGCTTTTTTTGTAGTCATACAATGCAACAACTGAGGAAGAAGAACATACAGATCCATATATGGCTGACTGAAAGCACAGATGGAGGTACTTAAGAGCACAGAAAGAGGGCATTCAAGCAATCAAGTCTACAGGACACTCTTGACAGGAATCCTGACAGTCCTATTCGCCCATTCAATCCAATAACCCTGGAAGTATTTCCTTCCAGTGCCTAGTCCAATTTAAGGTTGCAATAGTGGTCAAAGTGATATGAAACAGAAGTGTCTCAACTGGAACAGCTTCGTAGGAAGATCTAATGCAAGTGTCACCACACCTCTGGCATTTCTTGCCTGAAAAGATCTGCATTTTTTTAAAATCGCTCATTTCGCAGCAGAAAAAAGTATGGTGTGGCATATGTTAGAGGTTGGCTATGCATACAAGAGTATTGAGTTATAAAGACTAGGTTTAAACTTATAAAGCTGATTCAAAGAAAGGACTACAGTATGGCACATACCAAATGGGAACAGATAAACCAAAATGGAGGAGTTTTTTCTCTGAAAAGAGTCTACAGATATGTAAATATTGATGAGTACACATGAAGAATACCAAATTTCACTTGAATTTCGGAGGTTGAGGAGTGACCTGAGAAAGGTTTCACAAAATTACAAGAGGCATGGATAGAATTGTTAGTCAGAGTATTTTTCCCAGGGTGGAAATATCAATTACTCGGAGACCTAGGTTTAAGATAAAGGGAGAAAAGTTAAAAAGGAGATGTGAGAGGCAAGTTATTTTACACAGAGAGTATTAAGTGCCTGGAGTGGGCTGTCAGAGGAAGTGGTAGAAGCAGATACAGTAGCAATGTTTAAGAAGTATCTTGACAGAAATATGAATAGGTAGGGAATAGAGGGATATGGACTGCATGGAGGAAAAATGCTTTTAGTTTAGAAAAGGTGTCATGTGTCGGTGCAGTCCTGGTGGGCCCAAGGGCCTGTTCCTGTGCTGTACTGTTCTTTGAAGAATGGGAAGTAAAAGGCTGATATGGAAAGAGAAATAACAAATAAATAGACAGAAAAATTAAGCTGAAAGAATAAATGCTACAGGTTTGAAGATGAAATTCCGGTGAAGCACTTTGCAACGTTATTGCATCAGTTCCAATACATAGCTATGTTTAATCAACCTGTGGTGACACACCTCTGAAACGGGCGAGACTTGAACACAAGCCTTCTATCCTAAAGGTAGGGACACTACCACTGCACCACAAAATCCCTCAATTCCAAAATGTATTCTATGGGCTGGCTCACAGTAGTGAAACTCTTTACTTGATTGTGCCTCTTGAGCCAATGACAATTAAAAATATTTTTTCCAGATCCTCATTAGCAGTAATGGGTATTAAAAGTGTTAAAAACAAATCCAAATTGATGGGAAAAAAATTACACAGTTTCACAGATTCAAAAGTTACCCTGCAAATCACCTACAAAATCATTTTTAAGTCAAAAATCTGGCACAGCAAACTTTGTTTTAACTGGCACTTTATCAATTGGTACTGTTGATATACCGGCAAAAAAAACCCTTCAAATATGGCAATCTCCTGCGATGTCCAAGTCTTTTTGTTGCAAATAAAGTATAACAGTGACGTGTATACCCCTGCATTACATTTCTATTACTTACTTTGTGTTTTTACATTGATTTTTTGAGGGATGTTGTTGTCTCAAAACTTCACTTGGTCAAGATGTGGAGGTGCTGGTGTTAGTGTGGGGTGGACAAGGTCAAAAATCACAATGACACCAGGTTATAGTCCAACAGGTTTGTGTCTTCAAATAAACCTGTTAGACTTTCACTTGGGTCAGGGTTTACTGCAGTGATGCAGACCTCTTGATTATCCAGAATAACTGATCAACCGGCACACTCCTGGTCCTATAGGTTAACAAAACGTTTGCTGTACAACTATAAAATAATATCAATCTTTAGATAAAAAGAAACAAATTCCAATAAGAACTAAAAACAGAAATCCTACCAGTACCTTTTTCAATGTAATTAGCTGGTATCCACTGAGGGTCATCTAAGTAGTCTATTGGAGGTGGTGGTGGTGGGGTCATTTCATCAAGGTCAACGATAAAGTCAGGAGGAGGAGGTGGTGGGGGAGGACAATCATTGACTGAAATGGCAGAGCAAGGTTAAAAATCAGACCAATAGAATAACTTAAATTTGACAAAAGTTAAGTACCATTTTACAGCAACTAAACCAAATCATAGAGAATAAATACAAACTATTATCAATTGAAGTCCATAATTCTGTAGGTTGTAAGCCTCAGCTTTAGAAATTGTATCCCTATAACTGTTAAACACTTCAGGTGGAAATGTAAGCCATAAGAGATATTGTAGACAGGATCATATTGAATTAATCACTTATTATGGATCAGTCCAATTTTCCCCATGGTACATACTGTGGCGTACAAGGGGCAGCTGTTTCAATGTCACCCATTTCACACTCATCCAAAGGTAAATGATCCACATCATCTTTACCATCCTGTTGGTGCCATTTTAGAGGAGCAATAGCTCAATAATATAATAGAAATTTAATTTCAAAATGGTCAAAGGCATTTCTGGGACTCACAGCAACATTGAAAATAACTAATGTAATGCTCCTGATTAAGAAGGCAGGGAGGCAGAAGACAGGAAACTATAGGCTGGTTAGCCTGACCTCTGTTGGTGGTAAGATGTTACAGTCCATTATTAAGGATGAAATTGCAGAGCGCTTGGAAGTGCATAGTAAAATAGGGCGGAGTCAGCACGGCTTCAGGGAGTGTCATGCCTGACAAACCTGTTAGAATTCTTTGATGAGATAACAAGCAAGACAATGGAGAGCCAGTGGAAGCGATCGATTTGGATTTTATAAGGCCTTTAACAAAGTGCCAGACAGGTGGCCATGTTGTTAGGGACAAGGCACTGGCATGGATTGACGATTGGCTGACTGGCAGAAGGCAAAGAATGGGGATAAAGGGATCTTATCCAAGATGGCAGTTAGTAACTAGAGAAGTTCTACAGAGATCAGTGTTGAGACCACAACTATTCAAGTTGCATATTAATGACCTGGACAAAGAAAGATTGTTGTCATGTTTGCAAATGACACAAAGATAGATGGAGGCACAGGTAATGTTGAGGAAGTGGGGAGGCTGCAGAAGCCATGGACAGGCCAGGAGAATAGGCAAAGAAGTGGAAGACAGAATGCAATATGGGAAAATGTGAGGTTATGCACTTCGATAAGAAGAATAGAGGCAGTAGACTATTTCTTAAATGGGAAAAACACCTTCGGATGTCTGAAGCATAAAGGGACTGAGGAGTCCTAGTTCGGGATTCTCTTAAGGTTAACACATGGGTTCGCTTGGCAGTTAAGAAAGCAAACATGATGTTAGCATTAATTTCATAAAAGCTAGAATACAAGAGCAGAGATAGTAAGAACTGCCGATATTGGAGTCTGAGATAACACAGTGTGGAGCTGGAGGAACACAGCAAGCAAGGCAGCATCAGAGGAGCAGGAAAGCTGACGTTTCAGGTCGAGACCCTTCTTCAGAAATGGGGGAGGGGAAGGGGGCTTTGAAATAAATAGAGGGGGGGGGTAGGGCTGGGGAAGGTAGGTAGTGGTGGGGATTGGTCAGTGAGGTGGGAGGAGCGGATAGGTGGGAGAGAAGACGGACAGGTCAAGGAGGCGGGGATGAGAGGGAGGGTTGGTCTTGGGATGAGGCTGGGGGTGGGGAGCTTCAAAATCTGTCTTCTCTCCCACTTATCCACTCCTCCCACGTCACTGACCAATCCCCACCACTACCTACCTGCTGTCACCATCCTACCTACCTTCCCCAGCCCTACGCTCCCCTCTCTATTTATTTCAGAGCCCCCTTCCCCTCCCCCATTTCTGAAGAAGGGTCTCAACCCACAGCGTCAGCTTTCCTGCTCCTCTGATGCTGCCTGGCCTGCTGTTTTCCTCCAGCTCCACACTGTGTTATCTATAGAATACAACAGCAGATACGCTGAGGCTGTATAAGGCTCTGGTCAGACCGCATTTGGAATTTTGTGAGCAGTTTTGAGCCCTGTATTGAAGGAAGGATATATTGGCCTTGGAGGGGTTCCAGAGGAGGTTTATAAAAATAATCCCAGGGATGATGGGCTTGTCACCTGAGGAGCAGTTGAGGTCACAGGGTCAATACTCATTGGAGCTTAGAAGGATGACGGAGGATCTCATTGAAACTTACAGAATACTGAGATGCCCGGATAGAGAGGAAATGGAAAAGATGTTTCAACTATGTAAGAGACTAGGACCGGAGTACACAGCCTCAGAGTGAAGGGACAACACTTAAGAACTGAGGTGAGAAGGAATTTCTTCAGCCAGAGGGTGGTTAATCTGTGGAACTCATTGCTGCAGAAGGCTATGGAGGCCAAGTTATGGAGTGCATTTAAGACAAAGATAAATAGGTTCTTGATTGTTTGGGAATCAGGGTTAAGGGAGAAACTTATCAGCCATGATCAAATGGCTGAGCTGACCTGATGGGCTGATTGGCCTAAACCTATTCCTGAATCTTAAGGTCCTATGGTTGTAACACGTAACTTTTTTTTTTAAAGCAATGTCCATTAGTAACAAAGAGCCAGTTGACTGTAGTTACATGGTCTTCTCCTTATTCCGGTATTTTTTAAAAGTACAAATCTCCTCATCTTTTATTAAGGGATTGGAATCCATTTCCTGGAATTCTGGTGTCTAGTCTGGTGATATTAGCACTGCACCAGCACCTTGCCACAAGATACAAGACAGTTTTGCTGTTTGTAACTTATATAAAGAAATGTAGAGACTTAGAATGAAATATGATTCAATTAGAATGTGTCAAATTTTGGTAATCATGATTTGTTAGCAGTGTATGAGTCTAACGTATTTAACTAAATTACTTCTTACATATCTGTTGTGCGTCACCACCTAAATACTACAGTATAACACGGCAATACTTTTCGTATTGTTTTATTCCCAACAGTTTTACAGTCTATGAATGTAGAGAAATTGCCTCCAGAGTCCATAAAGCCTAGGAAAAAATTCATAATACTTCAAATTTTTCACTTTAGGGAAGAAGCATTCATCCCACCTTAAAAAACGTAATTTTAGGACACCATATTCCACTATGGATCACACAGTCATTTTACATTTAGGGCCTGGATGTAAACTCAGTTTCACCACTCAGCTGAATAATTCATCCTGAGTTGACTGAAATAACTGAGCTTTTTTTACAGTTTCAACGCTGGTATTTATGGGTCCAGGAATGGTGACCTTTCAACAAGCTTAGTCGCATACCAATAATTAAAAGTAAAAGCCTAGTACTAAAAAAATCTATTTCACTGACTGATAGTTATTTGCAGACAGAAATCACAAGAATCAAACAAGATCTCCTAAATCTATATGCAAAGCAGACAAATGCAAAACATAAAAAAACTTACTGTTCTCCTGAAAGCGGGCAACAAAGCCAGTCAGGGGAATCTGTGGAATAAACTGCAATAAAGATGGAAGGATAGGTGCTGGGGAGCCGACTAAGGAAGTGGTGGAGATGCATGGAAGCTTTTGTAAGTCATTAGCACAAAAGAATAAGAATACAAATTGCATAAAGCTGAATTCTGACATTTGCACAGATGATGAAAGCTTACTTGCGAGTGGAGAGGACAGTGACACATCATTTACATGTCGGTGCAGGAAGGCAGGAGAGCTGGCAGAGTGCCTCCACCTGAGGCTTGCAGGAGGTGTAGCACTGTGGTCACGCTGAGGACCCTGCCACATAAAATGGTTATGACAGCCTGAAGCAGAGCTAGCTGCATTAAAGATCAAGAGGACAGGAGATCAGTCCATCACTATCCATAGACACAGTAGCAATCTTTTCAGCTGGCTCTCTATCAATTTGTGTCATTCAATACAAATGTTCTCTTAACTAAGTCAATGGATTGTTCAGTTACTGGTTTCATCCCACCCCTCTCCATGTCTACATTTTCATTCTGGTTATGTATGGGTATCACAGATGCACAGTACACTTTTTCAATGTGCTATGCCACTAAGCTGCAAAGTATTATTCGTAGCCCTCTGTGCTCGCCCTTATTGAGTTCCTCCAATCCTTGGTTATTCCATTGACTTTGTTCAGTTCTGTTTGGCCTGGGAGATAGATTGGGTACTTTTCCATCAATCACTCCAGGAGATGGTTGTAAATGTCTGTATTTGATTTAATGTTGATACATAATATGTAATTTATATATATTATCCTCCACTTGCTTCATTTTGTGGAATGAATAATCAGTTTGTATGATGTAACTGTCCTCCACTCACCACATTTCGCTGAAGAAGCTAACCTGGAGAAACTATTGTCAATTTCTAGCATGTTCTCTGCTTGCTGCTTTTCATAGAGGATTTTTAAATAGAGTCTGTGGAGTGTTTACTGTAGTATTCTGGTTAAATAGATACTGTTTACGTAAGTTGAATCCTGCTGTAAAGCCTGCCCTGCATTCATCTCATTAGCTGGCACTCTGCTCTATTACAAGAGACAGCAGATAAAATATGATCCATCAAGCCAGGCTTCAGTACGAGATTTGACATGTCCAGTCATAACATCTGCTGGGATCCTAATAAAATACAGTGAGTACTAAACGAAACAGAGAATATCTCACCTGAAGGAGGGTCAGACAGTAAGGGGGGAGGAGGAGGCAGACAGACCTCATTGAAAATCTGTGGAGGAGGAGCAGGAGGTGGAGGCAGGTCCATTGGAGGAGGTGGTGGCACATCTGGGAGATCATTCGCACCTTCAATGTGTACACACAATAAACTGTTAATCACAATGAATGCACGCAATAAACTTTTAATCACAATGCGTACACACAGTAAACTGTTCATCTTAATGAGTGACAATTTGCACAATTTGTTTTCATGTTACTTAACAACATAAACACATTTGTTTTAAAAGTCCTAATACTGCGTTTTTAAATCACATAATACTATATTGACAAACACAAGGCTCCTGGTAATATAGTAAGCGATATCTAACTCTCAAATACGAAGCAACTCCTTACTTAAGGAGGGACATCTTTCCATTGGAGGTAGTTCAAAAAGGTTTCACTGGATTGATTCCTGCATTGAAGGCATCAGACCTGTACTCATTTAAATTTATAAGGCTGAAAGGTTATATTCTTAAAAATATGTAAGATTTTGAGAGGGCTTGACAGTTTAGAATTGGAAAGAATGTTTCCCTTTTTAGCAAATTCTGAAATTATGGTAAAAAAAATTGTTAAAAATAAGGATGATGCTAGTTTTGCTTCCAGAAACATATTTTAACCAAAGTGGCAGTGCCTCTGTTATCCCAGATAACATAAGAAACTAGATTTGTGATGTTAGAAAATCCAGCAGACATTTATTACAGCTAACTATTATACACAATCTTCAAATCTCAGACACATCAGTGGCTGAGCTAACATTAAGCTATTAGATTACAGCTGAGAAGTAGGTTCCAGTAGTCTGTCCTGCTCCACGTTAAGGTGGCATCTATGATTTTTATACCCTCTGGTCACTTGCTATAATGCAGTAATGCTATCATAAGCATGTTTCTTAAAGGTATACTGACATACCGAGCATGAGACATAACACAATAACGGCACCATCTGTTTAAGACTGAGATGAGAAGGAATTTCTTCTTTTGGAATGCATTTTGGAATTCTTTTTCCCACAGAACAGTGGGGAAGGGGCAATGAAAATATTCAAGGAGAATCAGGCATTTTTTTTTGGACTACAAGGAAGTCAATATGGGGGTAGATAGGAAAGTATGGTTAAGGCCACAGTCTGTTCAGTTAAAACATGATTGAATTGTAGAACAGGATTATTTAGCTAAAACACCTATTCCTGCCTCCTATTCCTTATGATTTTATGATCATATTATACAGAAAATTCTCTTTGTTATTTTGGTAGAGGCTTTTAAGAGTAATTTTAATACTTTCCATTACTATAAGTCATTGCTCCACTCCTGAATTTTCTCTTCATTGGTTCCATGTTTAATACTATTGCCTTACATTTGAATTTTGGACAATTTAAGTTTCCATTAAACCAAAATTAGCAGATGCGGAAATTCCAAACAAAGCACATGAATTTGGTAATCTCCCATTGCACAATTTCAGGGCCTCACCCCAACCTCAAACATGAAACCATTGTTTCCAAGAAGATTATTGTTATTCCTATTGGAGATCTTACCTCCACAGCTTTCAATAACCAACACCAACAGTGCATTTCCACCTCCTTCCTAAGTTCTAGATAACAGGACTTGTCCTGGTAGGCCACCAGTTCAGCTTCAGCCTGTCCCACAACAGATGAACAGAACTTTCCTGTCTCCTTTATATCTTTTTATCTCTCTTACAATCTATATCTATCAATTTAACAGGTTTTTCTATTCAATCATGGGACATGGGTGTTGCTGGCTGGGCAGCATTTATTGCCCATCTCTAGTTGTCTGTGAGAAAGTGGTGGTGAGCAGTCTTGTTGAACTGCTGCAGTCTCGATAATCTAAGTAGATTCACAATACCACTAGAGAGGGAATTCCAGGATTTTGACCCTGCAATAGTGGAGGAACGGCAATATAGTTCCAAGTCAGGATGGTGAGTGGCTTTGAGGGGGACTTTAAGGCAGTGGGAAAGTACAGAAGCTTTGACCGTATGGATATTGAACAAATTGAGAAACAGGGAAGATATGCCGAAGTGGCAAAGGAGAAGATGGAGGTTAAAGATGTGTTTGAATTATTTAGTAGCTGGAAAGTCTTCACTTGCTTATCCAACGGTGCAAGCAAGATACTTAATTAAAAGCAAAATACTTTGGATGCTGGAAATCTGACATAAAAGCAGAAAGTGCTGGAGACACACAGCTGTCTTGTAACAACTGCGGAAATTGAAACATAGTCAATGTTTCAAGTCCAATATAACTTTCTTCTCTCTACAGGTGCTGACAGACCTGCTGAGTTTTTTCAACACTTTCTGCTTTTGTTTCAAGATACTTGTAAGAAATTTTCCCGTTACTTTCAATAGGAGAAAAAAGTAACAGAACATTTATTATTAACTCAATCAGAGTCCCACTGGAATCTTTCGAAGTTGAACTTCCTTTGCATTATAATTTTTTTAAACTCCGAAATATTAAATTTATTGTTTTGAGAATGGAACCAGACGGTGATTTGAAACCCAAACTGTACAGAGAACATTATTATGTTGTCCAAAGTATGATCTTCCATTGTTTTATTGAGACACTGTGCACACGTTCTCACATGCACACACACACATGTGCCCACACGCGCACACGCATGCATGCCCATGCACGCGCACACGCACAAATACACAAACACTGACCTAGTTCAAATGCTGCTGAAGCTTCTGGTGCTGGTGGTGGTGGAGGCATCGACACAGGTACAGACACAGGCATCGCCACGTTCGCAGTTCCACAGCTATTCTTGTTTCTACCAATATTACTGCTTTCAAACAACAATAAAAAAAGGAAAGCAGAAAAAAGATGTCATTGGTGTTTTGTAAAAGGTATAAATATATTTCCTTGTGTCTGTACAAAATGTTCACACTTTATAATTAACTCGATGTACCTATGCATCGGAGACCCCTCTGTTGGTGGGGAGTTGGTCACGGGACTGCTATATGCACTTGGGACCACAGGAGGCTGAACAGGTCTTGCTCCCTTAGCACTTCTTCTGAAAATTGACAAAAACAGGACGTTTCTTTAATATGAGCATGAGTTATAAAAGAGGCTAAGAATGAAGTGGACCACAGGTTGACCTATATCTCAAACATCATTTTTGATTATTAATTTATTCCATTATTTAAAATAATTGGGGCTGGCTTTTCCTCCAGCACACATCCCATAATCAGGTGGTACAGCAGTGAAGGAAAGACAACAGAACAATGGAAACTTGGAATTTTTGCAGTGCCAAAGGAAGAGATACACGGCTGGTCCCTCTCCCACCTTTTCCTTATAAACCTGCAAGTGTTTTCACGTTGGATAATTATCCAATTTCATTTTGAAAGTTCCATTGAGTCTGCCCTTACCACATTCTCAGAAGATGCAGCCTAGATCCTAACCATTCACTGCATGAAAAAAGATTTTCTTTATGTTACCTTCACTTTTTTATCAATTATTCTAAATCAGTGCCCTCTGGTTCTCAATCCTTCTGCCAAAGGAACTGTTTTCTCCCTGTCTACACAATCCAGACCCCTAATGATTTTGAACAGCTCCATCAAATCTCTTCTCAACGTTCTCCCTTTAAAAAGAGAACAACCATGACTTTCAGAGTTTCTCTCTAAACTGAAGTCTGATATCCCCTAAAGTACTCTCCTAAAACTAATGTCCAAAATTAGATTTCCCAAGCCTGTAGAAATTTAGCTACCTAACCATTCAATACACTGCCAAAATGGATGCAATAGGGTCATGTAAATAAAGCCAGTAGATATCCTTGCCCTCCTACCACATTATTACCATCTCCATGCAATGTCACAGGAGAGAGGAGCATATCTGATGCAACATTAGGAAATTTGCTGGTGGAGGAAGAGGGCATCAGTCTTTTTTGTATCCATACCATTGACTACCACAACCAATGGTATGCATTTGTAACCACCCAACATGATCTAGTACGACCCTATTTTTAAAAGGCCATGCTAACTGGAGCTAACTACTGAGAAAGCAGTTCTCACAGTTCAACATTATATTAACTGCACTCATGGGATGAGGGCATCACCAGCTGGGCCAGCATTTTTGCCCATGCCTAGTTGCCCTTGCAAAGGTTATGGTGAGCTTCCTTCCTGAACCCCTGCAGTCCATTTGCTGTAGGTACACCCACAATGCCAAATTGCACTCTCCCAAAAATTGTCCTTCAGCCATTTACTGGTACGTTACTCTACAATGTACACTTACCCTAGAGTTCCTTGTGAAGTGGAACTCGTCATACTTGTCTGTCCGTACCTTCGTGACAAAGTTCCACTTCTCACAGGATGATTGCTAACTTCCTACAAAGCAAAAATAAAAATACTTACTTCAAAGCGAAGATCTTAAATTTACTGAACCTCTTCACGCATCTTTCATACCTGAAAAACCTTATGGGGGTTTAACTGGTTAGTCACTAAAAATGGACACAGCAATTGGGAGCATTGCTGAACAAACAGACAAACGGGTGTAGGTTCATAGTTCCTGGACAGTGGAGACAGGGTAGTGAAGAAGGAGCTTGGTACACTTGCCTTTATTGGTCAGTACATTGAGTACAGGAGTAGGGAGGTCATGTTGCAGCTGAACAGGATATTGGTTAGGCTATTTTTGGAATACTGTGTGCAATTCTGGTCTCCCTGCTATAAGAAGGATGTTGTGAAACTTGAAAGGGTTCAGAAAAGATTTACAAGGATGTCACCAGGATTGCAGAGTTTGAGCTATAGGGAGAGGCTGAATAAACTGGTGTTTTTTCCCCTTGCAGCATCGAAGGCTGATGGCTTACCTTATAGAGGTTTATAAAATCATGAGGGACATGAATAGAGTGAATAGCCAAGGTCCCGTTTCTAGGGTGGGGAACCCAAAACTAGAGGGCATAGGTTTAGGTGAGAGGAGAAAGATTTAAACAGGATCTGAGCGGTAACATTTTCATGCAGAGGGTGTATAGAACCAGCTGCCAGAGGAAGTAGTTGACGTGGGTACAATTATAACATTTAAAAAGCATCTGGATTGGTACATGAATAGGAGGAGTTTAAAGGGATATTGGCCAAATGCCGGCAAATGGGACTAGGTCAGATTGGGATGTCTGATTGGGATGAGTTGGACCGAAAAAGGTCTGTTTTCGTGCTGTATGTCTATATGACTCTAATTGCAATGGACAGTTAACCCATCCCATTGGAGTGGAATGAAAGCAGCTGCCAATTTCATCCTCGCTGCAATTCATTAAGATTGCTGTGTACACTCAGAGTGTTACCCACATTATTCATCGCTGCAAAAATCTTAAAGCTAACCTGCACTGGTTAAAGTTATCTGTGGCTCTTGAAGTAAAGCAAGCAGAGGCTGCCTATAGGGAGGAGCAAACATCAGCCACAGCACTAGACCAATTGGTGAAAGAGGTAGAAAAGGAAGAGAGACATTCTGTATCCTCACAGATGCTGGAGATGCTGATGAGAAGGCAGTGGGAAGGGACAGTCAAATCCAAAAGTATAGCTGAAGGTCCTGGAGGCAATGTCACATAAATGATCAGGTTCGGTGAAAGTGACCTCAATGCCAGATTCTATGAACTGACCCACCAACCTCAAACACCATTTATTTTCCCACATCCCCGTAACTCATCTGTCACCAAGTTCTATCATTTAGGATTCATACTGACCACTCATATGCTTCACCTCACCCTCACCCTCAAACACTTAGCATTGCTGCAAGCCTCATACCCACATCTCTCACTTGTCAGCTTTTGTACAACAATGCTCACATCAATTTGAAAAGCAGAGTTTAGTTAGATTGTAAGCTTTCATATTCAACCATAAATTGTAGTGCTTAAGGGTTTTAATTTATGACAGGCTGAAAAAGCTCCTTCCCATCCAGAAATTAGTTGATGAGGTGGCAGGAAGGACAGGAACATTGTCAATGTGCCAGATTATTTGCCCTTTCCACTACCTGCCCAGCCACCTGCAGCAAGGGAAATTGCTGCCCAAGATTTCAGTATACAGGCAACATTTCTGCTCTATCTGATAGATGTGTAAAATTCCAGAATTTAGTTTTGTATCATGCTCATCTTCTTTCATTACAATTGCTAACAAAACTGAAAATAAAAAAGCAAACTGATTGAGAAGAAAGAGCATGTTCTTCATATTCTTTATTGTAACCAAGTGGGGTTTTGCTGTTCCTGCTTTTACTGCTATATATGTTGAAATTTACATCAGAACCCAGTGTTAGGAATGAGCATATTATTGCATAGCTTCTATTGATACGCTAGCCACAATCAAACAAACCTAATTAAATATAGAAATTGCTAACGAGACCCAGCAGGTCTAGCGGCACATGTAGGGAGAAAGCAGAGTTAATGTTTCAAGTGCAAGACTCTTCATCAGATCAGTTGCTGTCACACCTGTTGAGTTTTGCAATTAATTTCTGTTTTTTGTTTCAGATCTCCATCATCTACAGTTCTTTGTTTTATCACATTAAATATAGGCTGTGAATAAAGGGAAGAGGAGCATTTCTACTTTTTAATCCTCGCTACAAAATCATTATCATGTTCTTCATTTTAAATGTTTACAGCATTTTTGCAGACCAGAACAGAAAATGAGGTGAAAATGTGAATAAAAATAGAGTTTGATTTGTTCTACGGATACTGCATAGTGTTGTATCTCATCAACTATCTTAACGCAATGTTGCTGCATTAAAATTATCTGATGATTCTATTTTAAATGCTCAATTCCCATTTTTCCTCTGTTAGTTATATTGCCTGATTCAAGTTATTGGATAATGCACATTGTGATTATTCGTAACTGGTGAGAACATCAGAAAGAGGAGCAGGAGTAGGCCATTTGGCCCCTTGGCCCTGTCCTGCCATTCAATAATGTTATGGTTGATGTGCCTCAGGCTCCAACTCCTCTTTTGTGCTAGCTCAGCATAGCCATTAACTTCCTGATATTTCAAAAATCTGTCAACCTTCCCTTGAAATATTTCAATACTTAGTTTCCACTAGTCTCTGGGGTAGCGAATTCCCCACATTCACTACATGCTGGGAGAAGAAATTCCTTCACATCTCACCTCCAGTGAGTTGCCAACCCCAGACACATATTCCGTCCCCTCCCTGTCAGCATTTTGCAGGGACCCTCCCCTCCAGCACACCCTGGTCTACTCCTCTTTCATTTCCATACCTTCCTACATCTCCACGACACCTTTCTGTGCAAACACAGAAGGTGCAAAACTTGCCCATTACTTAGCACCTCCTCACTATCCAAGGCCCCAAACACACTTTCTGGGTGAAGCAGCAATTTACCTGATCTTTACTTAATCTGGTTGACTGTATTTACTGTTCACAACGTGCTCTCCTCTTTGGGGAAACGAACACACACTGGACAACTGCTTTGTGGAACACCTACATTCTGTCACAAAAATGACCCTGAACTTCCAGCAGCCTGCCACTTCAATACACCAATGAGGTTCTGTAAGGACAGAACCTCATTTTCCATTTGGGAATCCTGTAGCCTTCAGGTCTCAAGATCAAGTTCAATAATTTTAGGGCTTGAACACCTCCTTTCATGTCCTTTACCCACTACTCACACCCCAGGCCCTATCATGATATGGGCTACTTTCAGCACAGCTGACCCATTTTCACCTACTCATGGTCTCCATTAGGAGCCTTTCTTCCTTCCTGACTTACTATCATCCATCCCTCCACCTTTCTTTCTCTCTTGGCTCCCACTCCATGAACTTTTTTTTTGCTTGGTGTTAACATGGTGGTTGATCACTGAAACATATTGACATGAGGCCGTAGATATTCTTTAACAACAGAATATAAGCTTATTGCACAAAGAAAGAAATCAGACAAACCAAATGTTGTAGTAGTTGTAAAGATCTTAACATTAAAACAAAGTTTTGTTTTATTTCCCAACACTGTCCACTATGGAGGCTCAACTCGAGAGAAATTATACATGTATTCCTATCTCTTAGCGTTTCTACTTAGCCGATTCCTTCCAATTACTCTTCATTGAAGTGTTGAAATTATTTTACAATTTCTCTTCAAGTCTGATGATGTGAACATTTTACAATTCCAATGCCATAAATGTTTTCAATTGCAGCAAGCTGAAGATTTCTATTTAAACTCTCCTGGTTTGGAAACTTCATGAACTAGAGAAAACATTACTGCTGCAGTGACTAGTTTCCTCTGAACTGAGCTGAACAAAGGTCTACTAGGAGGAAAACTAAAAACTTGTTTATGAACTCAACTCTTCCTGAACTCTGAGTTCTGTGCTCTGAAGTCCAAATAGAAGTAAGATTACACTGCCCACCCTAAACCAAAGAGCATGAACACTTTATTCCATTACACCCTAGTGGTGCCCCCAAGCCTTTCTTTACAGTCACATGTCTTCTTGCAACTGGTGCGTTTAGGTCACTTTTGCAGAATGACTTCCTTTTAAGAAAAAATACTTCCGTAGCACTAACTTACATTCATAGTTCTTTAAAATCTAAGTCCAAAAATGATAATAACACATTTTACATGCCACTCCTTACAACACTTTCATGCAAGAAAAGTTACTTTAACCTATCAGAATTGGACTCTGGTCCCAGCCCTAAATAATAAGTAAATACTATTGTTTTTAATCTATCCCATCAAAATCTCCCATTCTATATACAACAGGCAAAATACGCATGAAAAGAATTTCAGACTGATGTTTATTTTTAATAGTATTATTTTGTATTCATTTTCTCACCTTTACTCCATGTCCAGTATCATCTAGGAGCGTATAGACAATGGGTTTCCTGGTGTACTTTTCCCGCTGAATAGGGTTTGCTGGGGGAATGATTTTGGTCATCCTTGATGTGGTTTTAGCAACAGCAAATGCTCCAATCTCTCGCCGAGCCACTTTCTCTTTGTGCATCTCTACTTTCTAAGGAAATCAGATGGAAAAAAAGGGTAAATAAGTTGTATTTTATCTGTGTTGGTGAATGAGAACCGTTCTACTTGTGTGTTAAAGAGACCAAACTACAATGTGGTTGACTCTTTACTGCCTTCTAGGCAACTGGGGAATGAAAACGCTAGCCTCATTCATGAAGCTGTCATGAATCCCATGAATAACTCTTCCCAATCCTTTACAGTACCCTATAAGGATGAAACTACGATATGTCTCAACCTCTCATTCTAACCAGAAAGCTAAGAAGAACTGTACAGACATAGCACTTTCGTTACCACAGCCAATTCAATACTAATGTAATGCAGTCACTGTTAGAATGCAAGAAATGCAACAGCAAATTTGCACTGTGATGACCAGATAATCTGTTCTTAATTATGTAGATTGCAAAGATAAATGTGGTTCAGGATATAGGGGATAAGTTCTTGCTCGTTTTCAAAGTCATTTGTGGAATCATAAACAGTCATATTTTATTCTAGCTGTACAGGCACCAGTGGGTCTCTCCCTTGGTCTGCATGGATCTTCTCAACCATGAGAAACAGGAAATAAAGAAATTGCAACCGGGTAACAGACATACACACCAGACAAGATCAGTTCTTCTTGTAGCAGTTCCTGTAAAGAAACCATATCATTGCTGATTTAAAGCAAAACTGCAAAATGCAAGAAACATGAAATAAAAAGAGAAATTTTCTGCATTTAAAAGAGGAAATCCAAATTAATGTTTCCCCTCTGAAAATTTTAACCCCTTCTCACCCAACAGTTGATAGACCTTGCAGCCTTCTCCCAACATTTCATTGCTTTATAAAATACATCTTGTTGTTATTTACCCATTGCTTCAGAAGCACATAAAAGGCATGTGCTTTTTTTAAAATATCAAAAGGCTTTAGCCAGAGATTGGTTGTTACTTATAAGCTTTTGTCTTGAAAGAAAGTGGTATTTTCTCCGCTTTCATGAAATGTAGAACAAGCAACATAAAGATAAATAGTGCAAATCTGGGTGTTTTGCACTGCTCAATCTAGCACTTAAGTGGATTTTCACTCTGTTTTCACAGGAGCCAGAGCTAGTGTCACAATAACAGCTTTTTATTGAAGGAACTGAGCTGGGAAAGAGATTAAAACCTTTGTCCTCACTGAGCCATGTGTACTTGGAAGAAACCATGAGGGTTGTGTGCACACAAGCTGTTACACTCTGGCAACGATTTTTGTGCCATGAACTTTATTAACATCAATCCTCTTTGTGGTGTCCATGAATGAATTCTGGATCTCTTGCTTAATTACAGCAGGATATTGAATTAACTATTTGAGGATGAAATCTTGCAATAAATTGCTTCTTGTCTTTGAAAGCAAACCACGGTACCCACAGACATGCATGTCATTGCAAATGAGTCCCATTAATTATTATTCCCTCCCTGGCACTCCTTTTGTTGGTTTAAAGTACGTTTTCAAAGATGGAGTGCTACCTAAATCATAATGTTAGCTCACAGGGCTTTCATGAGTTGGCATTTCTGAAATGTAAAATACAGTCTAAAAGGCAATAATTTTTCAGGTTGTCCATTATTGATATTGCTACTGTATCCCGGATAGCATTAAAGGATATTCGACAGCAAAGATCTGCATTAAAATATCCTGAGGAACTGCACAAAGATGACAATAAAACACAGGTAAGGAGATGGATGGGAGTGTTATGAAATAAATGAAAATCAGAAAAGATAAAATAGGAGTGACTGATCCGATATTGCTCACTTTTGGTGCCACACAGAGTCCAAACTGCCCACGAGTGGATCTTTGACAAGATCAAGTACAGCGGCAGGGCTGTTGTTTGGGTGGAAATCCTGTTTACCAGGAGCTACCAACCAATCAGAGGGTAATATCAACTCTGAACAGCTCTGGGGAAGCCATGGCTGCTATAGAATGACACCCACTGGAGGCTCAGGATTGAGGAGCAACCCACACCACACACAAGTAATGGCAGAAAGGTTTTCACATGTTGGACAATGTGGGAGAAGGGGCTGCAGAGGGGTCAACAGTGAGGACAGGAGGTGGCTTACTGCAGCTCCCCATCCTTCCCTTACAAATATTGCACCCTTCGATCAAGCATTGAATACTCTGAACCAAGGGACACCCCATGACCCATTTCCCATCTGGGGAGCACTCAGTTTACCTGTCATGCATGCCACACATTGACAGGTCTGTCCAGTACTGGGTTAACACTAATGGAGGTGGGATGAGGCCCTTAAATGGTCATTAATTGCCCACTGAAAGACCTCAATTGATGCTGGGCATGACACCCAACTTATTGCTTTTTGTACCCAACTTCACATTGGTGGAAATGAGAGGTGGTGTGGTTATGAACAACTTCAAACATGCAAAGAAAGAGGCCATGAGATTCCATTCCAAGATTACACACAATAATCCGATACAAGTCAGCAGCTAGGGAAGGAGGCAGGTCAGCTGGAAGTATTTTGAATTAATTTGTACAGACTTATCTCTGGCACAGGTAGAATTATAAACCTGGACCTTCTGGTCCAAGTAGGAAGACTATCACTGTGCCACAACAGCCCTCAGTGAGTCAGTTGTAGATATTTTCAATCAACGTGTTCAGACATGTTATGACACATGTCAAGGGTAAGTGGGCCTTGAACCCAGGCCTCCTGGCCCAGAGGTAAGGACAGTACTGTTGAACCACCTGGACCATTGGCCTATGCCTTTATTACTGGCCAAGTAACATTACCAATAAGCCATCATCACATCATAGTAAGTCATTTTAATTTTTAAGAGGTTTTACCAAGCAATGATTGAGATGGATTCAGATAATTTGATATTCAATTGTAGGAAATTCTAGCTTCCAATGAGTTGATGTTGGATAAGGAGTCTAAAAGTAGAGGTGTCCATGAAGTCAAGGCAGGTAGTGGAGAGGTAAAACTGGTTGTTGCCAGCATAAATTGGAAACCAACATTGCAATTGGGATTTCCAAAGGGTCATAGGGTGGGAATCCAGCGTGTTGACCTTTGAAAGTCACAGTCCTGGAGGCCATGTTGTGATTTTAATGCCTTCAGGACAATTTCAAACTTTCAACTGGTGACCAGAGGTCAGGAAATAACTGAGGAAAGCATTCACCTCCAATTACAAACCCCTTAAGCTTGTTCAAGAGCTTGGGGAAATGCCTGTCTGAAATGGAGGGTAACATTGAAAATTCTTCCTGTTGATTCCCAACAGTTTAGTGCAGGTTAGTGCGGAGCTGCTGGATTCACCATGCAGCTCAGATACCTTGCTTTTTCAAGTTGTTCAGGGTGTCCAATGAGTGCAGCATGGGTACTACTCCAACCCATCTCATCCAGAAGGAGCTGCCCGCCCTCATCCAAGACAGAGCCAGACTCATTTTGGAATCGGGTCCCGCTGTTAATATCAGTGGCAGTATAAAAAAGGTTGGCATTTTGCGTACTCCATTAGAAACTCCAGAAGGGAAGTCATTGTTTTAAATATGCTTGTCACAATGGTACAGCTGGGAACAGAATAAGGTGAGGCCAGTACCTCATAGGTAGAGTTTTGAGAGCTCAGGGGGTGGGGATTGGTGATGAAGGATAATGGTATAAGAAATGCAAAGAGGTTAAACGGATAAGGACAAATAGCATGTCATATTAAAAGCCACAGAGCACATGGCTAGTGCCCAGAACTAGGTCATTCTTGATTCTATGTGAAAAGCAAAACGTGGACTGAATGGATTAGAACAGGAAATTAAGAGGGAGATGGGCACAGAGATGAAAGGTAATAAGAAAATATAATCTTCGCAATGTGCAAGAGGAAGGATGAGGATTGTGAGTGGGCTTTTTACAGATGTAGTGACAGCAGTTTCAAAGGGGAAGAATATGATAATCTGAGAGAGGGGGAAATTGACCTCAGCACTGCCAGGGGAAATTGAACATGTGGGCAGGTAAAATTCCCCATATCACTTATCTGCTGGTGAAGTACCCACATAGCACTATTCATGACGTGAACAGACATTTCTTGTTAGGCAGCAAGACTGCTTGCCGAAATGGGCAGGGTCACATAAAAATATAAAAACAGAAGTAACTTGTGAACTTCTTTCTGAAGAAGGGTCTCGGCCCAAAATGTCAGCTTTCCTGCTCCTCTGATGCTGCTTGGCCTGCTGTGTTCATCCAGCTCTACACCTTGTTATCTCAGATTCTCCAGCATCGGCAGTTCCTACGATCTCAGTAACTTGTGTAGCCAGTTGAGCCTGACCCACCATCCAATTGTCACCTACCTCAAACACGATTTTCCCACATTATCTCCATATTCTTTAATGTAATTAGTCCTCAGAAATGTACTGATTTCTCTCATGAACATACTCAGTTGAATGTACTCAAGATTCCACAGAATCCCAAAGATTCAACATCCACTGAAATTATTTCTCCTCATCTCAAATTTAAATGCTTTCAGCTTTTATTCTGCACCACACTGAAGTCACACAGACCACAGAGCTAAGTGACCCTCCCCTGTCCTTCCCTCCCCTCCTGGCCCATTCATACATTTGGATGTGCACATCATAAAAACAAATTGCAAATAGTCCATCGGAGCATAATTTTTTTTCAATGCTAACTTTTAAAACTTCATTTCAGCTTCTGAAACTGATGGAAAAAATGGCAACAATGGTATAAGTATAAAAGGAAGGAGCAAGCATTAAAACTCCAAACCAAAAATAAACAGAACATAACCAAAGATATCACAGATAATTAACAGTACATTAAGAGACAGCAACACATTTCCAGCCATCTACTTTTCTCCAGGGTCAATATTGCCTCTGCATATTTTTCATTGTCTTATTTTACGTGTATTCCATAAATCCGTTTTGTGAACCACAAGTTAGATTGCCATGACCTTCAGAAGTCGAACAAAATAGCAAGGGAAACATTTACTCAGAGGGCCAATGTGCATTTGGCATTTGGGCAAGCATGAATTAAGTTTCATTCAAAACTGGAAAATGTAAAGGAAAATACCCCAAGTGTTTACATGTCATTGCCTAAATAGGGACATTTTTTTTGGTGGGTGAGGTTGGTAACAGTGTCTAATTTCCAGAAATGCCTACCTTGCAGAAACTGAAATTAATGTGTCTTTTGGCACACAGTAATGTAAACTCACACTGAATCTGTAAATTGAGGCTTTACTGCCATCCCACCTCCCCATTTTGATTGGTCCTATAAAGGAGCTCGCGCATCTTTCCTTTGGACTAATGAAGGGTCATTACATGAAACCTTAAACTTTCCTTGTCCTTTTTAGATACTCATCTGCCCACATTTGTTATTCTGTTTCAGTCTTCAGTTTTCCAGTCTTTTTATCTTTGTATCTCTATTTGGCTTTGTTTCCTCAAAGTGCAGGTTTAAAACCCTTTGAGGGTCTCATCATTAGACATCAAGCACAGCTTATGTCTGATTGTAATCTGTCCATGGCGTATTCACAGAACACAAGTTAAGACAATACATTGTCAGCTGGGCTTCAAAATCACCCTACAATAGCCACTGTAGAGAAAACACTAACTGTTTTATCCCCTACTGCAAGATCTTTGCGATCCTGTGGGAAGATTACTAACATTCCTTCATTGCCATGCAATTCCTGTTGTTCTATCATCAGCGCATGAAAACATCCCTTTTCCTTTCGTTGATCAACCTAGCGGGGTAAAAGGTAATTAATGTTTAAAATAGGACATGGGATTTGCCACAAGTGGCCCTCAGTTTCAATATCTTCCAGTAATATATCGTAACAATGGTCAGAGTGATTTAGATTTTTTTGAATGGAATTTATTTGGCATATGCAGTTCCCAACAAGGAGACAGAAATACTCATTCTTAACAGCCATAACTATAACAGTAAAATGCGTGCCATTTTTTAGGACAGACCCAACTTCATATCCCTTGGTACTGCCACTCAGAATGGTCTTCCTCAAAAGCAAATTTTAGAAAAGTTTGCTCAACTAGTATAAAAGAAGGCAGCTGTAATGACATATATATAAATAGGTCCTCATGACTCATTACGTCCACGTATATAATGCACTGCCCAAGAGACAAGGAAATGATGACTAGAGCAGCAAAACATGAACATTGGTATTTCTGGCAAATTGTCCTGATGAGTGCAAAATGAAAGGTTTAATTAAAAGGTGTCTTTTTTTCAAAATTTCTGTAATAAATGCTGACAAGTGTTTGTGAGCTCTTTAGAAAGTGTCTCATAAAGTGTTCTTCAAACTATCAGCAATAAGTGAACTGTAAAAGTCGATGGCTCACAAAATCCTCTGCAACAACTTGTTCACTCCTGCAAGTATTTCGGAGGATTTTGTTGTGGTACACTTCTGGCACAGGTGGTACTTGTACCCAGACCTTCTAGCACAGACGTAGGGGACACTAGCTCTGTGCCAAAAGAGTCCAAAGTTTACTCCTGCACAGATGCTGGTGAAAGGACATTAAATTAAGCAGTAGCGGCAATCAAAATTACATGTGACCTCTTTATGAGCACTAACAGGCAGTTTAAATGGCAACTAGCTGCTTAATAAATTCTGATTAGGCCATTCTTAGACTTCAACACCTTTTCCAATCCATGAGATGGCACCTTTAACAAAATGAGGACTAAATGGGCATTCCAACTTCAGACTTTATTGTGGCCACCTCAGTGTCCTTGACGCCCAGAATGTCAAGGGGAATCTGTCACCCAAACATCTATTTGAAGCAGCTGCTGGGAATGTTTAAGTATTGTTTGACCTTATATAGCACTGGACATATTTCCAGCTCTGTTTAGGCTCTTGACATGGCTCCCGCATCAAAACAAAATCAATGATTTCCCAGTTTTGCCTTGTTTTGTTTCCAGGAATCTCTGCAATTTGAGGTATTCAAAATGAAGATAAAGAATCACTGAGAAGGAATGGCATTTAATTGAACATTTATGATCACCTGAGATATGAAGTTGACAGAAGACTCCATTTTGGAGAGCTCTAAGGACTGTAGATCCAACAACTTGAATACTTTCTCAGCCAAGCTGTTGATTTGACTAGCTACACTTGCGAGAGATTGCGCGGCATAGGCCTTGGTCTCCTCTAAAGCTTTTGTTTTGTCTTGAGCCTGTAAAAAATACAACACTTTATGGTCAGATACTGAGAAATGTTTGTGCCATGCCATGTATTACGCCACCATTTCATGGAAAACTGTTACCATTTGTTTATTGATAGAATAATCAAAACTAAAAATAACCTTCAAATTGTTGCATTATGCAGTAATGCTTTTGTATGGACATATTGAAAATAAAGTTTCACTTTTAGCTCTTAATTATATGTGTGAAATGAACAATACATTATATTTTCTACAAGTAGGGAAGCTGGTGTAACTCCCTCTCATTGCTCCCTATAACATTTTCTAAAAGATATTTCAAGGAAGGTGGGCAGCAATGGCAAGGCCAGCATTTGTTGCCCATCTCTTCTTGCCCTTAATGGCTTAGAGTCAAAGAGCCATGCAACTTGGAAACAGACCCTTCGGTCCAACCAGTTCATGCCAACCATGTTCCCAAACTATCCGAGTTCGACCTACCTGCGCTTGGCCCATATCCCTCCAAACCTTTCCTAGTCATGAACTTATCCAAATGCCTTTTAAATATTGTAACTGTACCTGCATCCATCACTTCCTCTGGTAGTTCATTAGACACACGAACCACTCTCTGTGCAAAAAAAATGCCCCACATGTCCTTTTTAAATCTTTCTTCTATCACCTTAAAAATGGCCCCTAGTTTTGAACTCCCCCACCCTAGGGAATAGACCCTTGTCATTCACCTAATGTACGCCTCTCATGATTTTGTAAACCTCAATAACATCACCTCCTACGCTCCAGTGGAAAAAATCCAAGCCTTTCCAGTCTATTTTTTATCTCAAACGCTCCATTCCCAGCAATATCCTGGTGAATCTTTTCTGAACCCTCTCCAATTTAATAACATCCTTCCAATAATAGGGCGCCAGAACAACACACATTGTCAAAAGTCAGCCACCTTGTTGCGGGTCTGGATTCACAAATAGGGCAGATTGGGTAAGGATAACAGACTTCCTTCCTGAAAGAACACTAATGTGTTCTTCACTCGTAGCATCATCTTTCAATGTTCTTTGAAACTCCATCTATTACACTTGACCTTTCCCTTGATCACATTTGATTTTTCCCTCATTCACCCTCCTCAATCCTCCCTCAGTAACCCGCAACCCTTCCCTCAATCATCTTTTGCCTTCCCTTGGCCCCTTCTGACCTTCTCTCAGTCACCCAGAACACTCCCTCAGTCACACTTGAGTCTCCTCAACCTCCCCCTAAAAATCTTTGACCTTCCCTCAGTAACCTACGACCTTCCCTGCAACACCCTCAACCCTCTCTCAATCAGTCTTGAACTTCCTCAATCACACTCATCTCTCCCTCAGTCAGCCTTGACCTGTGCTTGGTCAACTTCAGCCGTGACTTAACTGTTCTATGGAAACAGCCCCAGTAAAAGTGGTCTTGATTTATAAAGAAGTTACAGTAATTAAGTTAGATTACAAAAAGCACATTATTTTCATAACATTTCATGTAACAACTAAATGATAAATCACGGAGTGTGAACTTTACCAAAAAATGTAAATTCTTATTTATTAAATGAACACCATTTCCATATCACAAAATCAACAGTAAAAGAGTCCAGATGGATAAAATGTTGTTTATTGCATTTTGTTCGCAGAGCACCTTGTGAATTGGAAAAGCAAAAAAAGTCAGTTTTTTTTAATTGCAATTGACGTTAAGCAGAAATGTTAACATTTGCATTTTCACCACTTGCATCTTAAAGTGAAACTTCCAAATGCTGATAGAGATCAGAATGGAAACCTCAGACTTCTGCTATCAGTCGAGTTAATGAGCTGTCATAAAGGTTCATATCTGGTCACATGTTTTAAATCATTAAAAGAATGAATCATTTCAGCATTATCTCTTACTAATAAAGTCAGAACATTACAGGATTATATTGAAAAACTTTTATTTCCTAGTTCAACTTTGCATTGTTTTTCAAATTTGTGCAAAGTTTTCTGGTAACTTCAGTTAACTGAAATACTTGTTAATAGTGAGGAAACTGAATTACTTTGGTGCTTGGCTAATAATTCATGCTCCACTGATTTGTCTTAGCAACTTACGGAAGAAAATGTCATTAAATTTCAACTATTGAACTTTACCAAAATGTGAAGTGTTTCTGAAATCACTTGTATATGATGCAATCTAAAGATAACATTCACGATCATTACTTCAAGATTGATGGCAGTACTTATTGGGTCCTTTTTTAAATATATGAACATTTACTTTGTCCTAATCAAGTGTGTAAACGTTTGAAAGTCCAGACATTGTTTTTTGAATTATGACAATTAGGAAACATTGAGCTAATTTCCATGTGTATCCACCAGCTACAGGAATTGAAATGCAAAGCACACATCTGCATGGAAACCAGAAACATACTGCACTGCCAGTCTTTCAATGCAAAGTGGTACAGAGATGAGGAAGGTATATTAGTGCAGTAAATTCTTTGCTTATCAACACAGTTCAAAATTCTCAAAACACAACCTGTCAAATACACATCTGGTTCTATAAATAAATAATTTCTAATGCCATTTAATAAATGCATCAAAAATTAACATTTAATTCAGAGTCTATCTTCCAACTATTTGTTTAGAATAACCTTAGTTTATCTGGTAAGAGAACTTGAGTCCATACTTGCTGAATTGTTGAGCTAGTAACAGAATAAAATGTTACATCAAGTATATTAAATAGCAATATTCTTCAGAAAAACATAAAACTAGCAACGTGTACGAAAACTGTTCAAGAAGTATAAGTTACTGAATGTGAATAACCAGATCCACAGCCCCAAGTGAATAGGGTATGCATTTAAGCTATGTTTAAGTGTGTTGTACCTACAAATACTTACTGAATTTAATTCACATACCTGTATGTAGTTATTCTCACAATATTCTGCCACTTTTTGGAGGTTTGTGAAGCTTTCCAAAAGAAGTTTTCTATCTGCGGGAATATCTTGTTGAAATAAGCTCTGCATTTCTGCCATTTTGCAGAAAGACTGTTTTCATTTCCTTCTTTGTGTGAACACTATGGTTTTTAACTTGAGGTTTCCCCAGCCTGGGCTTATTTATTGTGATCTTTCAATCAGAAGCATTCTGGGCATTTTTGCACAGAGAAACAAAAGTGCAGTGCTTTATACAAAAGCATTGCTTACTTAAAACAGTAACAGCAGAATTTCTGATTGAATAGCACAGTAAGTTGAAATATGCAAAAATGGAAAGATTCTACATTTAAGACGTAAATTGAACATTTTAGTGCATAATTTTTTTTTCATAGGATCAATTTATTTTCAAAGTCAAAAATCAAATGTTACTATTTCTAAATGCTTTGTGGAGGAAATTACTTATGCTTTTTAACAACAATGGTGTGAGATAAGTAAATCAGTTTTAACAATGTTATTGGTGGGTCCCACCATTTTAGTTAAGAAAATGTCATTCAACAAACGTCCTAACTTTCATATCACTTTGAATGTATTGTGTTTATGTTCTTGCAAATTGTTGCAATTGGAAAACAGGATATCATATATTTTCAATCTAAGTTACATCAAAGCATTTGCCAATTATATATGTGCCTCAAGTGATCTTCAAGAAATGACACAGAAACTTTAAATCGTTAAAGCAGCACTGAACAATGGAGAAGAGGATAAGATCATTGCAGCTAGCAATTAAAGCTGAAGTAATGAGCAACAAATAGAAATTGTTCAAAGTGGCGCTATCTTTGGTTCTAACTCATTTGATTTCAAATCTTGGATTGGTTTTCTGCACTATGTGGATCCATAGGTGCCAAAATGTGTATCACCCACCATATTGGGTAAGGATCCCTTTCGCACAAAATTCACATGTTTACAGAAGCCAAGTTTTCCACAATCTGAATTATCTTGTTTTCTCTTTTCAGCTTTAGGAGTTCAGTAAAACAGGATTTGCCTTTCACCTAATTCTTAAGAGATTTCATTCTTGACAAATTCAAGTTGTTATGAGCAAAGTGTAAAGGGTTGCGACATTAAATCTCAGATTTTGTGGAGCTACCTGGGCTCCGATGTTTGCTCCGGGGTTAGGGGCACAAAGCTGGGAGAAATTCCAGCTCCATAAACCAGCCCTTAAAAAATGGCTGCCTGCATTTCCAATGTTTAGACCAGGGGAGTGCAGAGATGGGTTGTATTGAGAGCCGGGCCAGGCAACACAGGAATAGCCTTTGAAGGTGCCTAGTTCCCAAGGCAGGCTGGGTGGAAAGGATTTCTGGCACTGTGTTCAAAGCTTATTAAAACAGAAAACATCCTTCCTGCTCTCACCACTACCCCCCCCCCCCCCCCCCCCCCCCCCCACTCTTAATGCTCCATCCGTGAAAACCAATGCCCCTGTACCCACCTCCATGGCCTTTTAAATATCCTATGCCAATCTACCCATTCCCTCATTTAGCCCTTCATATTCCATATACTCCCAATTGTCTCCATACCCCTATACAGCTGCTACATCAACTCATATTCACTGTCCCTACACTTTACCTTCTGTCTCTCTGCTAACTGAGGCATTTTTCAGGAGGCTTCCTGACAGCAAATAGTTTTACCAATCTATTGATGACATCACTATTGAAAAAGGCACAGTCTCATTGATATCAAAAAGCCCCAACACATTTGAAATTGCTTCAACTAATCCTTTATATTGTAATAATCTCAGCTGTTGGCAATCCTGGACAATTTGGATCTCAGACTGAAATCTGGCTTGATAGATTATAAACCTGATAATTGTAGCCAGTTCCTGCAGCGATTAGTCACTGGACATATCCAAACAAGGCTGCTAATGTTCTGGTAACAAAATAGCACAAGTTAATTGCAAAACGTAAAATGAAAGCAAAGCTATATGTGAGAATTTAGAAATACCTTAACATAAACAGCAAAAACAAAAGTTCAACTCTTTTCCCAACACTGCATGTTAGTGATACTCAAACCCAACAAAGTATCACTCCTATCTTTAAGATTTCATATTCAAATGACTCTTTTCCAGTTTTGATGAGGAAAAACATCTATTCCAGCACTATTGCTCTGGATTTTTCTTATCATTTCTGACAGCCAAGAGACTTCTACAAACTTTCATAACTTGGTGACTTCTACAAATTAAATTCTGACAGCCTGAGATTTGTTTTGAGATCAATGAATTTGTTCCTTTGAACTCAAAGCTGAGTCTGTCCCCGATCACTTATATCTGTGCAAATCATACAACTCAGCAGCATGGAGTTTTTGCAGGATACTGGGTGGGAGGAGGTGTAGTCTTGGTAGCTATGGGAGTTTGTGTCCATAAACTGTCGCCAGAAATGGAAACGAAGAGGTCAGTAAAGGGGAGGGAGGTGTCTGAGATAGAGCAAGTGAATTTGAAGGTGTTAACGAAGGGTGGAAGGTGTTAATGAAGTCGATGAACTGTTTCAGTTCAGCCTGGGTACAGGATGCAGCACCGATGCAGTTATCGATGTAACGACGGAAGAGTTGGGGAACAGTACCGGAGTACGTACTGAAGAGGGACTGTTCAACATAACCAACAAACAGGCAGGTGTAGCTGGGGTCCATGTGAGTGTCCATGGCAACCCCAGATTTGGAGAAAGTGGGAAGAATTGAAGAAAAAGTTACTGAGGGTGAGGACTAGTTTGGCAAGGCGGAGTAGGGTATTGGTGGGTGGGGGTATCTGGATGGGTCTGTTGGAGAGGAAAACACTGAGGGCCTGTAGGCTGTCCTTGTGGGATATGGGCATGTGTAGGGATTGAACATCCATAGTGAAGATAAAACGCTGGGGGCCAGGGAACTTGAACTTACCAAAGAGTTGGAGGGCATGGTTTCCATTTCTGGCGACAGTTTACAGACGGACATTTACTATAAACCCACAGACTCCCACAGTTTCCTGGACTACACCTCCTCCTACCCTGTATCCTGCAAAAACACCATCCCATTTTCCCTATTCCTCCGTCTCCTTTGCATTTGCTCTGACGAGGAGACGTTCCACTCCCAAGCATCCCAGGTGTCCGCCTTTTTCAAACAAAGCTCTTTTCCCCCCTCTGTCATCCAGACAGCACTCCACCTCACCTCCTTCATTCCCCACTGTACAGCTCTTAACCACACCCCGCCAAAACATAATAAAGATAAGGTTCCCCTTGTCCTCACTCTCAACCCCACTAGCCTCTCCATCCAACATATCATCCTCAAACACTTCCACCAACTCCAATTAGACCCCACCATCTTGAACATCTTTCACTCCCCACCCCTTTCTGCCTTCCGCAAGGACCATTCCCTTCGCCACTCCTTAGTTTGCGCCACACTCCCCTCCAGCCACTCCAACCCGCCCGGTACCATCCCCTGTAACCGTAAAAGATGCAATACCTACCCACACACCACCTCCCTCACCTCCATGCAGGGCCCCAAACAGCCCTTACAAGTGAGACAGAGCTTCACCTGCATCTCCTCCAACTTAGTCTATTGCATGCGGTGCTCCCGATGTGGTCTTCTCTATGTCGGTGAGATCAAACTTAGACAAGGTGACCATTTCGCTGAGCATCTTCACCTGGCCTGTAATGGCCAACATAACCTCCCGGTCCCCACCCATTTCAACTCCCCCCTCCAAACCCCCTCCGACATGTCCGTCCTCAGCCTCCTCCAGTGTCGCTGTGACTCGCAACGCAAATTTGATGAACGATACTTTATTTTCTGCCTGGGCATCCTACATCCTGGAGGACTCAACATTAAGTTCTCCAATTTCAAATAACCTTCCCACCCATCCCGGGGCTTCCCTTCCAGCCCCAACCCCTCACTTCCATTCCACCTTCTGACCGTCCCTTCCAGCCACCAACCAGATTCATCCCTCTCATCGACCAACCAGGTTGTACCTACCACCAGTGTCCACCTATCACCATCATTCCACCTCCACACCTCTCCCCCTTTATCTGCAGCTCCCCCTATCCCCACATCGGTCCTGAAGAAGGGTAATACCTGAAACACAGTCTGCTCCTTTCCTCCAGATGCTGCCTGGCTTGCTGTGTTCTTCCAGCCTCCTGTGAGGCACTTAAGTCATGTTTTTATGGTCCCAGGCTGATCTTATTACTGGACAAGTCTGATCCCATTCTGAAATCTGACTTAATGGATCATATTTACTTTTGTTTCAACAGGGTGATCTGTCACTGAAACACAAACACACAATGCTGCAAATTTGGGTTTACCAATAAAGCAGAAGTTTATTGTGCAAAAGAAATAAAGATAAAATTGGATAAACCAAACTATTCAAATATAGCACAAGTTTAAATGTTTTGAAATACATGGTAAAAATGCAAACCCATCAATCCCAAATGCATTCCATCATAATACTCAAACACCAGACAGAATTCCCTTTTGTATCCATATACAGTTCAACTTAATTGTGGCTTCAATTTCCAGTCTTGAAAATCTGATAGCATCTTTCTTGATTCTTTATAGGGGTGAGTCTTGACTTTCTTATATTCACATAACCCCTTCAGAATTTAACCAAACACTTCTGGTCTGGAACCTTTAAACTAAGCTCCTTATACAGAGGTAACTTGTTTCTTAATAGCCATAAACTATCACTCTTTCTCCTGGGCAACTGTTCTTTCACATCTAGTTTCAGCCAAGGCTTCAACCAAACTGTCCTAAACTGAAGCTGAAAAGCTCCTTTCCCCTCAAGCTTTGGATTTTTTCCCAAGCCAAAAAGCAAATTCCAGAACCTTCTATCTGAAAGCACTATGCTGTTTACCTTGTAAACTCTCCTAATGCAAACAAATCCCCATTAACCTCCAGCATGTCTCTCTCTAATGCAATGTTTTAAAATAAATTACCATGGTTACAGAAATACTTAAGTTAATTATTAAACTACTTCTGACACACAGAAAGTCCATTAACTACTAGTTCAAAACCAAAACTCTAAAAAAAATTAACATACATATAATCACACATGTTATATCACAACATGCTTTCGTGGAAATGATGTCTTTAGTTCACCATTCCAAAATGACTTTCTGATGTCTTAAAAAATGATCAGCT